ATAGGCTGCCCGAATGTTTCTCTGCGGTATTTTGGCCCATTCCCGGCGAAGCGCTTTCTTGAGGTGATCGACACTTTGGTATTTTTTAGTGTCAACCTTGCTTTCTCCAGACACAATAGTCCAACGGATTGGTATCCGGAGATTTTGGTGGCCATTGTGCGCTGGAAATGAAGCGAAGAACCTCATTTTGTAACCACTCTTGGTTCGCGCGTTCTGAGTGCGATGGTGCTGAGTCCTGTTGGAATGTCCAAGGTCTGCGGCATTCCACATTCCAGAATATTTTCACGATAATATTCGGCATTTATACTGATGTCCGGTCGATTAATACGAGTGGAGAGCCACTATCGGCTGTTATGGCGGCCCACACTATCACCATGACCGGCGCTTGTGTTCTGATGGCCAACCGAAGGGGTACATTTTCATCTGACCTATTTGGCAAGTAAACACGATAATTTTGTTTGTTTACAAACTGCGAATGTTTTCTTATCGGAGAAAACCATATTCGGCAGTTCACCACTTTCGGCCAAGCGAAGCAACTCTTTAGCTCTTTTGAGTCTATTTTCTTTCTGTTGTCGTGTAAGTTCTTGCACTTTTTGGAATTTCAATAGCTTTACCCCGAGCCCATCTTTCAATATTTGTCGAATGGAATATTGTGAAATGTTCAGCTCACGAGCCATTTTTCGGCCACTGCGACGGGGGTTTTGATCTATTGCTTTCTTACTTATCGAACCATTTCTGCTGTATATTGTGCTGTACCAAATTACATTTTTGGTACTAAGATTTGCCAGCCAATGAGAACGGAATTATAGCCAATTCGGCGGGCAAAAAGGGAACACATAGTCTTCAAAATACCGAATAAAAGCCGGTACCGTTATATAGGGGCTAGTGTAAAAATTAGGTCAATATTTATGTGTTTTAATAGGAAGATTTGCTACACAATTTGAATTCAAAATACCAAACTACAAACATTTCTATTGAAAAATGCGCCCATGCATTCGTGTTCAAAATAACGAAAATCGTAAAAAGTTGACCAATACTGATATGATTTGATAGGAATATGTGTCATCTAATGAAAATGCAACATATCAAATTACAATGTGCAAAACATGCCCAAAATACCCAAAATTTGGAGTAGTACGAGTAACGGACGGACATGCATAAATCAACATAGAATTTTATACTAAAATATATACGTTATTGGTTCTCCGGTGAATATTTCGAGGTGTTGCAAACGGAGTGACAAATTTAGACTCCACCTTATGGCGGAGGGCTTTTTGCAACATTTCTTTATTGAACAAAAACCCTTCTATTTAGACTTAGTGGGGAAGAAACGTTTTGGTAATGGTATATGCAGTAGTGGTCAAAACATATGCAACTGAAATTGACTATATGGAAATAGGTAGTAACCTTTTTATTTGAAATTAAAAAATGGGTCAACTTGGTATTTTTCAAGGTTTTAGTTTCAATTGAAATTGTAAGTGAAAATTTTCCCAGAAATTTTTTATTGATAAAATGGATAACAAGATATTAGCTGGGTCAAAACATATGCAACTCTGACAAATTAAAAAAATACCGTTAACTTAGGTGTCATAGTTTATATTTTTTCGCAAAGCTCAAATATTCTTGAGTGTTAAGAGATAATTTTTTTTAAATAAATATTTAATAAAAAAAATTGGAATGTACGGTCTCCAACAACCAAATAGAAATGACGAGCCATATGAATCCGGGTTAGGGTTAATAAAACGCTTTGTGGGCAATTAGAAAAATTCATTGTTGCCGATTATACGATTGGAATATCACTGCTAGAGATGTTTGAAGAATATAAAGAATATAATACCTGTGAAGAAGTATAAAGCCTACTTCTTGTGGCTTTGTTAAAAAAATTGGAAATATTGCCCATATACAGTAGTAGTCAAATGGTTTGACTACTACTGTATATGGACAATATTGCCAATTATTTTAACAAAGCTGAAGCCGAGGTTCACCCCTTTATAACTCAGAAATTAATTAAGTATATGAAAAAAGTGAATAGTTTTGGGTTAAATGATCTGTCGTTGCAAACTTTTCACGATATTGACCTCCAAACTTTATTTCGGTGGAAACTGTGTCTACTTTAATGTAAAAAAAATTTTAATGTTAATGTTTTTTAAGTTCTCTATCGATTTGCGACTAAGCAACTCATTTCACGGTCTTCGTGTCAAAGTAAAACTAGAAACCAAGGAAATGGGGACTACGTCTCTTATGTATCATTTTTCAAAACTGTATCTACCTTTAAATGATGCTGAAGCTCGATTTTTAGTGTTATTGCGGATTTAATTGAATTTTCCGTGGATCCTTTCCGTTTCAATAAATGACCTGATACGGATATTAAATTTTTGCGAAAACAGAACATTAAAGAGGGAGATGTCCCCAATTTGTCTTAAAAATAGTGTGAACTAAAAAATTGTAAATTGCAAACCAGAGGGCAACGAACTTTTGTTGTGATTTCTTTGATTTGATAAAGTATAATTGTTAAAGTACGATTAATACTCTTTTAAATTAATATAATTGAAATGCTCATGCCAATTCACGGTTGAAAACCCGGTTCAGAAAAAATTAAACGCTGATACTTTTTCCATCGTCTGCAGATTTGGGAATATATCAAAAATAAATGTCAAAATTTTACAAAATTGTGTTGTATTATTTTCTGGTTTCCTATATATTGTAAAGCTCAAATTGTATTATCGTATTTTTTATTTCACATATACTTATGTAATGTGTACAAAATTTTCCTGCTGGGTCGTTTTATAAAAATCTAAAATGTCATATCGATCTTGACACGATCATTACGATACAATGGAATTAGCTGAGTATTGTAGTTACCTTGTATAATTGTACCATGATTTCAGGATAGGTCCCATATAATGGTACATTCCATTATTCGATATTTTTTGCAAAGTAGTTTCATATTTTAGGTTGTCATTGGGTATTAAGTCTTACCAAAAATCCAAACATGTTCGATATCGATCTACGTTTTGATATAATCCCCATATAACGGCACCCCAATTTTCGATATTTTGACGATTTCAAATATGTTTTCAAACATCACGCTTCATGTTCAAGGTCCTAGACCAAATTTTCAATGTGAGTGTCTGTAGTTAGCAACAATTTGCCTCCATATAAATATTCAGAAAGGGTTTCAAAAAAACAGCGGAACCTAACGACTTTTTTACGTATTTTATTTTCTATATGATAAATCCCATCAAAAATAAATATCTAGAAATTATATTCAATTCTTAGTAATTAATTAATTATGGATTTATGGAACAATCACCTGATATATGGATGACTACAAGAAATTTAAGTGGAACAAAAAAGAGATTATGTGTAACAATGTATGGGTCGGTATTAATGTGGAATATCCAGTGACCTCCTCCCTCCCCAGATATAATATAATTCACACTATATACAATAGCAGCAACTGCTGCAGGGCTATCACATACATTATGTATGTAACCCTATACAATCATAAGAGTATATGTATGTACATATGGTATATATAAATATGTATGTCTATTGTATAAAATGCAGAAAAATCTTTGCAAAATTCTACTAAAATCACGTACGAACTATTTTTATCAATGAAAATGTAAGACTTGTTGCTTGTTTGGTTTTTTTTTTTTTTTTTTTTTTTTGAGAACGAAAAATTCCCCAGAATAAGAGCCGAGTTAGAGAAAAAATACAACAACAGTAAAAGTAACAACAATAAAAATCAACAGCTATTATGAAAGTAACGAAAAATTCTGCCAAACTATGTATCCTCGTATATGGGCTAAAAATGTGATGAAGAGCAACAAAAAAACAACAACAAAGAAGAGGATAAAATCAATAGGAGGGATATTAAATTCCCTAGAAGGATATGTGATTCTTTTAGCATATTTACATAAATCGCTTCCTTTGGCATACTTCCGCCTTGCGCTTTAACTATTTCCTTTTGTTTCGTTTCTATGTATACAATCCAATCGGTTCGGCATGTATATATAGATGTATACGCTACTATGTAGTACAAGTACCGACAACATTCATTGTCCTTAAAAAGTTAATCTCCTGTGGTTAGTAAACGTGTGTTTGAACAATAACCTGTTGGTCGAGTAACCACTACCACCTGTGATGATTTAATTCTTTTTTGGGCCAACAACAAGACGCCTCTCTAATAAGGACCAAACCCTGATAGTATTGGTCATTCAGGCCAAGTAATTACAACAACAACAATTGTGTTTATGAATGAATTCTCTCAGTCTTCAATGAGAGGGAGAGAAGAAGAAGTAAAAACCCAGGAAGATTTGTCACCTAAAAAACAACAAAACACAAGAGATTACCAAATTAGATTGGAGTATAAGTCAAATATTGTGTTGACAAACATGGTCCAAACAGGTAGCCCGAACTAGCAAAGATCAATATGGTGACAAAGTAAATATGTACGAATGCATGTACGGTGGCAGGTAGAAATCCACCATGCACACTCGGAAAATAAATTAGCCATACTTGTTAGCAATTCCATCAGCAGCATACTGGGCCAATAGCAAGGTAGCATTTTTAACCAACTATTTAACAGGTATGTGAAAATTTTCGCACATTTTTGTTTGTTGTTATTTTAAGGAAACGAACAACAACAACAAACAGGATGAATAGGAAGGAAGAAGGAAGTTGTTGCACATTGACCGACCGGTAATGGCGAAAGAGAGAGGGAAGAACCAACGCGTACACCATCATCGAATGTGTAACGGTGCGCAAAAATTGATAAGAAATTCGTTAAATTTTAAAACTAACGTGACGTACGTGTTTAAAATCAGTCTTAGACAGGTGATCATTGAGTAAAGATCACGTTCTTGTAAGGATTTAAAAAAATATCACACACACATATTTTTTCACAATACTTGTGGGAAAAATCGGAATAAGTAGAAAGTTTTAGTGAAGTGTCTTGAAAGGAAGAAGGAAGTAAAAACACAAACAGTAAAGATGACCTATAAACGCAGAGAAATGCGTAATTGCAATCAGGATAAACTGGGTAAATAGCAGAACACGTAATTAGAACAAATGGATTATAAACAATTTTATCAGAAATTATTTTAAGTATACAAATTTAACAGAATATAATTCGCCTGATAAATATTCATAAAAAATATTTTATTTGAAAATTTTTCTATACAAAAATTAAGAAAATTATTTTATAGAAACAATTTTTATTGATAATTACATATCCGCAATATATTCATTATCGACAACATTTTGAAAATAATTTAACCGGAATATTTTCTTTACGAAAATATTTTATCCGCATCATTTACTCTATGAAAATAATTTATCCGCAACATTTTCTATATGAAAACAATTTATCCGGAACTTTTTCTATAAGAAAAAAATTATCCGCAACATTTTCTTTAAGGAAATATTTTATCCGCAACACTTTCTTCGAGGAAATATTTTTTCCGCTGTATTTTCTTCGACGAAATATTTTATCTGCAACATTTTCTATACGAAAATAAGTTATCCGCAACATTTTCTATAAGAAAATATTTTATCCACAATATTTTATTTAAGGAAATGTTTTATCCGCAACATTTTATTTAACTAAACATTTTTGCGCAACATTTTCTATTAAAAAACAGTTTATCCGCAACATTTTCTCTACGAACATATTTTATCCGCAATAGTTTCTCTATGAAAATATTTTATCCGCAATATTTTCTCTATGGAAATATTTTATCCGCAACATTTTCTCTATGAAAATATTTTATCCGCAATATTTTCTCTATGAAAATGTTTTATCCGCAATATTTTCTCTATGAAAATATTTTATCCGCAATATTTTCTCTATGAAAATATTTTATCCGCAATATTTTCTCCATGAAAATATTTTATCCGCAACATTTTCTCCATGAAAATATTTTATCCACAATATTTTCTCTATGAAAATATTTTATCCCCAATATTTTCTCTATGTGAATAATTTATCCGCAATATTTTCTCTATGAAAATATTTTATCCGCAATATTTTCTCTATGAAAATATTTTATCCGCAATATTTTCTCTATGAAAATATTTTATCCGCAATATTTTCTCTATGGAAATATTTTATCCGCAACATTTTCTCTATGAAAATATTTTATCCGCAATATTTTCTCTATGAAAATGTTTTATCCGCAATATTTTCTCTATGAAAATGTTTTATCCGCAATATTTTCTCTATGAAAATAATTTATCCGCAACATTTTCTCCATGAAATATTTTATCCGCAATATTTTCTCTATGAAAATATTTTATCCGCAATATTTTCTCTATGGAAATATTTTATCCGCAACATTCTCTCTATGTGAATAATTTATCCGCAATATTTTCTTTACGAAAATATTTTATCTACGAAAATATTTTATCCGTATCATTTTTCCATACGAAAATCTCTTAACTGTCATATTTTAACATTACATATTTTATCCGTAATATCTTCCATCGACAAATTTTGTATCCGCAGCAATTTCCATATAATTTTTTATCCGCATAAAATTTGGTATCTGTAACATATTCTATAAGAAATTTGTTTATACGCAACAATTTACCAATTTTCCGAATTTTTTCAACAAATTATTTATCCGTTATTTTCTATCCAAAAAAATATCTGCAACATTTTTTGTAAGAAATATTTCATCCGAAAAACTGTTTATGCAATAAAAAAATATATACCCTGGATCATTTCTATACGAAAATCGATTATCCGCAACATCATCCACACGAACATATTTTATCCGTAACATTTTTTATAGTCAAAAATTTTCCCTATACAAATATTTTATCCACGCCTATAAAAAGAAGTTTATCTTTATTTTATCCTCAACATTTGTCTCCCCTAAACAATTTTTTATCCCAAATCTCAATTTTTATATATTTTTTTAATTACTAAATCCATTATTTTCTATTCCTCTAGGTTTAGCCAAAACCTGTGCCATGAAGGAAAAAAGTAAAAATGCTGCCCGCACCCGGCGTGAAAAGGAAAATGCTGAATTTTTCGAATTGGCCAAATTATTACCGCTACCAAGTGCAATTACATCACAATTGGACAAAGCCTCCATAATACGCTTGACCACCTCATATTTGAAAATGCGACAAGTTTTTCCCGAAGGTAAGTGTACTAGTGACATAAATAATCCCTCTCTCAGGACTTTATTTCGGGGGGAGGGAGATTCAATAATTCCTTAACAATTAGAACATGTTTTTTGCGTGTCTTTGGAATTGATTTTTTTTGTGTCACGCGACTAAACTCGTGTCCGTTTTTTTTTGCGTTTCACTCTCATTATTCACCTCTGAAAGTCACACAGACATCCGCACACACCAAAAGTCCTGCGGCTATGTCAAAGGACCAAAATAACAAAACACTCATACGGGGTTAACAGGGGTATTTTTGTGTCAGCACCGCGGAAGTGTAGTGATCACATAACCAACCGTAACACGTTGCTTTCGATTTTCAAAATTGTGGTGTTGTTTATACACAGCAGGACATTTGTTGATTGCGAAAATATTTTTAATGTGGGACACGCAAAAACAAAAAAATAGCATACGTTTTCATTCATTTATGAAAGATTTGTGTGAAATTGGGCGTAAATGTTGTCCTTTGATTTGTTTTTTGTTGTTCATGGCATTCTTTTCTAATTGGAATGTTTAGCAAATATTATATATGGGCGAACAATGAGCGGTGTGGAATATAATAGGAGGACAGCTTTTTTGAAAAAAAATCTCTTACCATATATTTTTTGTTCTAATTAGGGAAAATAATTTTGGTTTTACTGGGACTTCGTTTATCCTTTACAATTTCTAAGCATAAATATTTTATCCGCATTATTTTTATATGAAAATTGTATATCCGCAACATATTCTATACGATTTGTTTATCCATATCATGTTCCATATGAAAATTGTTTATCCGAAACATTTTCTACAGAAAAATTTTTTTATCCGCAGCATTTTTTATTTTAAATTGTTTTATCCACAACATTTTCTATGCAGAAATATACTATTCGCAACATTGTCTATAGTGTATCGTGTTATTCGCAACATTGTTTATAATTAAATTTTGTATCGGCAACATGGTTTTGAAGATTTTTCATACGTAGCAATTGGGTAGGAAACAAATTTTTCTATAAAAAAATATTTCTGCTGCAACATTTTCTCTTCTAAAAGTATTCGCAGCATATCTTCCTTAAAAATTTCTATAAAAAAATGTTGACTGCAACATGTTGATGTGGCATTGTTTATTGCTCAACATTTTCCCACGACATTTTCTATTCTAGCTGTTCTCTACATAATTTGTTCCGATTTATGTTTGCTACAAATCTTCATCCTCTCCCATGCTTCTCAAGGGAATATGCTTTCTTGATATGGCGTTTTATTTGCAACATTTTCTATACTTCAATTTGTATCTGCAACATGTTTATAGGGATTTTTTTGTCACAGAATTGTTATGAGAATTTTTTGTACCTAAAGCAATTTCTATAGAATAGTATTTTTTCTGTGAACATGTTTATAACAATATATAATTCGCCACATTTCCTCCGCAACATGTTTAAAAGGGTTTTTTATCCTCAACATGTTGATAAGAAACTTTTGTTGTGTTGCTCTACAGAACTAGCACATATGTTTCCCACAAATCTACCTCATCTTTTCTGGACCTTAGGGAAATATTCCTATTTTAGATGACGTTCTATTCGCACCATTTTCTCTATAAACATTTGAGCGCAATATTTTTACTGTTGATAGGAAATTATATAGCCCTTATATTGTCTTCCATACCTTTTCCATCTCGGAAACCTCTCCCCCTTACGTATAGATGTTCCCACAAATTCTCCCCCTCTTCCCTTACCCCTATGGAGAAATATACTCTTTTGAGGCCACCATACAATAACGAGGTTAAAATGCTGAGTTATCTTGTTGTTTTCTTTTTTCGTTCCGGAAAAAGTTGGGGTATAATAAGGTGGTAATAACCATCAGCATTGTCCTCAGCATCATCGTCATCATCATCATCATTACAACCATTGACATCCTCCCCCCAACATATTTCCAAAGGACTTTTGAATAGCAACGAGGGGAAAACAAAACATGACAAAGAAATTTGTCAGGACATTCTCGACAGGCATGTTATTCTAATTATTTGAATACAATACAGGAAGGTAACATATACTTCGAAAGCTTGGCAGACTGTCGGACAGACAGCCATATGGAAAGCCTGCAGGGTAGACACACACAGTTTGACTTCATATTAAAAACGGTTGTTTCCCACTTAAAACTTTCCAGTTTGATGTTGTTGGCTTCTCTGCTACCATGAAGTGGAAAGGATATGTTAGAGATCCCCTCTTCCGGCCATGCGGTGTAATGGTGTGGGAAAAAATCCTAATGGGTGGTGATGGTGTTGTTGACGAAACGACTGGGTATAATATGCAAAACAATGACTGCTGAACTGACTGCTGGTGGTGTTCTCCACACACAGTCGAACGCTGTGTGAATGACTTTAATTGTTGAAAATATTTTGATGACATCAAGTCGCTTCCCTATTAGACAATTCCCCCTTTCTTCCTGACTTCTTTTTTGTTTCCTTATAATAAAACCAATTTTGAATATATATTTTCTTCTCTCCTCTGTTTTTAGGTTTAGGCGAAGCTTGGGGTTCTTCACCTGCCATGCAACAAAGAGGTGCCACCATTAAAGAATTGGGTTCACATCTTCTGCAAACATTGGATGGATTCATTTTTGTTGTGGCGCCTGATGGCAAAATTATGTACATTTCGGAAACAGCCTCTGTTCATTTGGGCTTAAGTCAGGTAAGTGGTGCTCTAAGTCTGGCGAACACACAAACAAATTTATGTGCATAAATTTCTTCTGCGGAGCATAAAAAGGCCAGGACGGGCAACGAAAAAGCAACAGAGAGACATTTTCGATGCTTTGCCATTTTCTGTCTTTTTGTTGCTGTTTTCTTTTTGCTTTTCTTTTATGCATATATTTGCATAATAAGTTCTAAACTCAAATACAACAAAAAATACTAATTGTTGTTTTTTTTATTTCCATCTAGGTTGAATTGACTGGTAATTCAATTTTTGAATATATACACAATTATGATCAGGATGAAATGAATGCGATATTATCCCTACATCCTCACATGTATCACAATCCCGTAAGTATTTTTTTACATTTTTTTAATTTCTCAAACTAAGGTAGATTTGTTCTCTCTCTCTCTCTCTTTATTGCTCTCTATACTCTTTCAAAAAAAAAAAAAAAAAAATCCATAAAAAACAAATGTCCTCAGGATGCATTTATCAATTCTTTACACTTAACACAGACACATCCCGCCGCCACAATCGGTAGCCCCAATGGCACCACAGCGTATGGTGAACGTGGCTGCCACACCATCGAAATTGAAAAGCAATTTTTCCTGCGCATGAAATGTGTTTTGGCCAAACGTAATGCCGGCCTAACATCATCGGGTTATAAGGTAAATATTAATTTTATATTATTATTTCAGTTTCAGATTTTTAATTATTTATTTTGTGTGCTTGTTGTAGGTTATTCACTGTTCCGGTTATCTGAAAGCCCGCATATATCCCGACTGTGGCGATGGCAATGGTCCTCTAATACAAAATTTAGGCTTAGTTGCTGTCGGCCATTCATTACCCACCTCAGCGATTACGGAAATTAAATTACATCAAAATATGTTTATGTTTCGTGCGCATATGGATTTGAAATTAATCTTTTTAGATGCAAGGTAAGTTAGCTTGAACTGTGCTATTTTTTTATAAGATATGTTTTATCGGCAACATTTCCCTAAGAAAAGTTATTACCCGAAATTTTTATTTTTATTTATTTTCTCTACAAAAAAAAAATCATTTATATGAATATAAGACGTTCTGCAGGATATCTACAAACTGAACACCATTTACAGGTCTCAGACTTCATTTTAAAATTTGTATTTCTTCCGTCAATTCTTCTTCTAGAATTGTTTTCTCCCCCATTTCCCCATTACATCTCAATAACATTATATGGAAATTCAATTCAATACAAAAAAATCAATATCTAATTATTGACACTTTCGCTAAGACCACTTATTATCGAGCTAACGTTAGCCATTTCTGTTTGTTGTTGTTGCTGTTTTTTTTAAGAACAAAATTGCCCCTTCCCCAGAGAAATCTCCACTCCAGTTGTTATTAAGGGTGCTACAACTCCTCCTTCTCATTTAGCCAAAGACACACACAGACATATTCTCAAAACAACCCCATTTTATAACATCCATGCCACACTCCCATCCCCCACAACACAGCAACCAGACAAGGTACTCCAAAAAAAAAAAAAGTCACCACCTACTTGAGCAACAACAAAACACACACACACAAAAGCAAAATTCCATTCATTCCAGATTGAAAAAAAAAATCAAATACAAAACATTCTCCAAAAAACCAGAAGAAATCTGAAAGCCTATAAAAAATAGACACTGAGCTTGAAGAGTAGTTCTTCCTTGGGGAAGCGAAAAAACAACAACAAAAAGAATGGAAAACACAACAAACAAATCATTTGCCACTTAAATACAAAAGTATTGTTCGTCATTGTTGTCTACAACAACTTTGATTGTTGTTTCTTCATTCAGCTCAAGCAGCCAGCCAACCAGTCATCATCCATCCATATTCCTTTTGTGATTCATTCATGTTTCACATTGTCTTTCTAACAAAACAAAGGATGATAGAATACAAATAATAAAAAATCCTGCACACACACTCAACAAAAATAAAGGAAGGAAGGATGAATAAAGAAAGGATATTGAGATGCACCAATTACCCTTGTGGTGTTAATTCAACAAAAAAAACATATTGTCCTTATAAATAGAATGCTGAGTACCCAAGCCCACTTAGTCCGTTGATTCATTCATAAGGGTTGTTTTTATTTATAGATTTTAAAGCTTTATGGAAAATATTGTTATTATTATTTTTATTAATTCTTTTAATAAGCTTCCACATCCATTTAAATTTAATTTTAACTCTCCCCCTCTTCTTCTTTGTCTATTTGCAGAGTATCCCAGCTAACTGGCTATGAACCACAAGAACTCATTGAGAAGACTCTGTATCAGTATATACATGTACAGGATATACTGCCCATGCGTGTTTCACATCAAATACGTAAGTTTCTGACACACGAAATGCACTAACACAACAACAACAGACAGACACACACCCACCAAACCAACTCATCCAAGTAATGGGGATTTTATCCTTTGTTATTTTTTGTACTTCTGTCATTCTGATTTTTTGTTATTTTATCAATCGTCCGTCCGTTCATTATTTATTTAATTCATGTTGTTTATATTTTGCATGGGGTTTTGTAAAAATATTAACCCGAACCTCAACTGTAAAAATCTGATCTTAATGCATTTAATCCTTTGCTAAATAGAGGGGTGTGTGCCCGGTGCTCGTGTTGTTGTTATTTTTTTGAATTGAATAATAAATCTCATTGTTGTTGTTTTTACTATTTCTTTACAGTTTTATATAAAGGACAAGTTACCACCAAATATTATCGTTTCCTAACAAAAGGTGGCGGCTGGGTTTGGGTACAATCCTATGCCACATTGGTGCATAATAGCCGTTCGTCGCGTCAAGTTTGCATTGTTAGTGTAAATTATGTTTTAAGGTAATTATTTCAATTTGGTTTAAATAAACTATATTACAATTTTGAATTAAAAAAAATATTTATTCCCATTGACCCTTTTTATTTACTCACAATTTGTTTCCCTTCTTCTCTTTCCTGCAGTGAACAAGAGGCCAAAGACTTAGTACTCAATGAAATACAAACGGGTGTTATTAAAAGTGAACCGATCTCAACACCAGCACCGATACCCACACCAGCATTACATGCCAGTCATGCGGCCGCTGTTGCCAATGTGCCACATCCAGTGGCGGCCATTAACAACAACAATAATAACAACAACAGTAACAGCAAAAATGGCCTGTTGAGACACACACCCAGTCTGCCTAGCCTGACAACAGCAAGTGTTTTGAGTACAAGTCCCAAAATGGAAACATGTTTTGAGGCAGCTGCTGCTACTGGTGGCGGTGCTGGTGGTGGTGGTTCATTGGGACATTTGCCAACGGCTGTAACTCCTGTCTTAAGTACAAATACCAATTCAAGTTCAAGTAGCAGTAATGTGAACAATAGCAGCAGTGCCACCAACAACAACTTTTTACAACAACAACAACAATTAAATGGTCACACGGAAATACCTTTACATGGTTTGCAAGATCCTCAGCAACAGCAGCAGCAACACCAACATCATCATCACAATCACCACCAGCAACATGATCACGATCATCATCACTTACATATGCATGGCACACATATGCCGGATCTCATGGATGTTCATCATCATGAATCGCATGGCCTCAGTTACACCTCATTGTATCCCGTCAATGACTCGATTGTGAGTTCAAGCAGTTCATTGGGGCCACATGATATGATACATCAATATCCGGAAACCACCGCCACCACTAATAACACCAACGCCATTGCTGCCTCTAATTTATATTACAATAACAACAACAACAATAATTATTATTATGATGCCACCGTTGATGTCTCGGCCCAAACGCTGATAAGACCATTTTCCGCCAACTCGAATAGTTGTTCGAGCAGTTCGGAAAGTGAACGACAATTATCGACGGGTAATGGCTCCATTGTTAATGGAACCTCACCACAAACCACCTATAGTGATCTCAGTCATAGTTATGAATTAAACTATTTTTCGGACAGTAGTTCACATAATCATCAGCACCACCAACAGCAGCATCAGCATCATTTACCTCATAGCAACACCTTAACCGAGTTGACTTCACCACAACACCACCATCAAGGTTCTATACATTTGACACAATTGGAGGGTATACAACAACAGCAGCAGCAACAACATCATCATCAGCAACAACTCCACCATCAGCAGCACCATCATCATCCGCCGCAGCATCAGCAATCACATTTAACCCTACCACCCATGGAAGTGGTACATCACAATGCAACCGCCGATCAACAACAATCCCAAACAAATCATCACATAGTTGCCAATAGTTTTAGTGAAACCTTTAAAAATGTCAATGCAACCCACTATACCAGTGTCATAGTGGAACCCCAGCATTATATAAATAATGAGTTTGTACATTAACCTTTAAAGATTTTAACGCAAGATGATAAAATCTTTCAAAGCCACCGTTACAAAACTGCAGCCGGTTGATGGCTCTCTAGGTAGGAAGGATACCATGTAAGAAGGTCATAAAAGGGGAATCACAATGGAATTGGCATTACCAAAGCATTAATATGTCTCCATATGACCTCCATACCTTCAGCTGGAGTGCAGCAGGAGGGTCGCAGCATATCGGCTGCCACAAAGCTGTTGCAATGAATTTTTCTACTAAATCAAAAAAGGAAAGAAACAAATTGTAATAAAAGCAAAAAAGCGTTAAAGCTTAATATTATTATTTTAATGGCTGAGCCATAAAAACAATTTACAATTTTATATATACATATATACTACTTTTATTTATAACTTTATATATCATACCTATTTTATTCGTACATACATATATTTTGTTCTCAAATGTTTTTCTATGTGGCAATTTTTCTTATTATTAATTATTTTATAATCTTTAATATTTATTTTTTTTTTCAAATAGAAGGTGAACAATGCTGTTAATAATAATGTCATTGCCCACACAAAACAGATGATGCAGCATTGCCATCATTAAACGAAGTTTTCATTAATGAAGTCGCAATGATGTCATGGCAACACACAATGACACACGGCAAAATATAGACACCATCATTATTTAAATAAATCACTTTATACTTTATTTAATTATTGTTATTTTTTATTCTACTTTTTAAATTCTATTCAATTTTCGTTAAGTAATATTTTATTAAACAAACAATGTTTATTTTTATATATAAATATTCGTTTTTAATAAATTTGTATATACCATAGATATTTATTAAGTGTGTATGCCTAATATATTATATTTATAAATATTATTATTAAAATCGAATAATAATAAAAATAATAATTATATATACATATAAATATAAACAAATTTAATATTTAGTAAAATTATATACATACATTATACAGTATATATACGAAGAAATTAATGAAAACAACAATAATAACACCCAGCTCTATTTGTATTTATATAATTGTAATTTTTTCTATATAAACACGAAACAAGAAACAAATTTAATGAAAGGAGAAACAAAACAACAACAACAAAATATAAATAAAAAATAATAAAGTGATAATTTAACAAAAACAGGTTTTTATGATTGTAATTATTTGGTCATTTGAAATTTATTGAAAACAAGTACAAAAATAACATAAATCAGTCGAAAAGTTTATATTGAGACTATGTTACTGTGTTATATGGTAATAATTTGTTTATTCCAAATTACAGACACTCAGGATGTAAAACTGCGGTAAAAACTTTAACATACCGAAAATTAAACGGGGCTGTTTTAAAACATTAACCTACGTTGAATAATTTCTGGAGGGACTTTTTTTATTCACCAGGCATCCGATATGCAAATTATAGCCACTTCGATGAGAAAATTCGTGTTAATACCGAAAATGGAATATTAATGTGGGAATGATATAGACGAAGTGCCAAATTGCAGATAATGTGGTTAAACATCATATATATATTAACAATTACCCACTACAATGTCGAAACATGACCCTATATTGACCATTTTCTGTATATGTGTATGTCAGCCTTCAAGAACCCGTTACATCGCTAGGATAATGCGACTTAAAGCCCTCAATACACCGAAAATTAAAAAAAAAAAACAGTAAAAAAGTAGTAAAGTCGGACTGGGCCGATTATATGATACCCTTCACCACTTTGGGCATATTATACATATGTATCCCAACAGAAGTCGCCTTTTAGAAGGAACATTGACATGAAATTGAACGAACTTAAATATGTGATTTTTATCTATATCTAAACCGACTAACATCAATCCCTAAACATGTCATTTTGCAATTTTCTAAATCGATTTAAAGCAAACTTGACACAAGCTATTCGGTCTGCTGCACTGTTTAAAATTTAATCGAATTAATTAGGGGGCTTTGGTGCAGCATTTACATAAAATGGGACGAAAATATATATGGGAGTTATATCTAAATCTGAACCGGTGAAACTATATATGGGAGCATGGTATAATAATAGAAGGTAACAGCAAGTGTTGTTGTACAACAAACGATACAACAACCACATGGAAATTTGTTTTTGTAAGTTATACTAGAGTCAAAGTCATTTGACAGGAATATGAAAACAAACAAATAAATTATATTTATTTTGAAAATAAAATATTTTTGAATCTATAATATAAAATTTGAAAAACATGAATGAAAATCTATCTAATTTATATTTTTATCGCTTCCACATCATTCATATAAATGAGCTATTGCCTCTTATATATGTAACACATATGAAAATGCAGCGAATTGCGAGTTATTCAATGAAGAAAGATTTGCTTCCTAAAACTTTCCCAACAGGCAGTTTGAGTAAAATGAATACGGGAGGACATTTAATAAAGAACAATTTCGAATTGTATGCGTTCCCAATTTTCCTGTTGGGTGATTTTTAAAAATATAATTTGTCAAATTCATATTGACACTAGTATTACGTTGGAATCAAATCAGCTGGGACTTGCTGCTACCTTTTATAATTGTACCATGATATGGGAGCTATATGTAAATCTGAACCGATTTTAACGAAACTTAGCACATGTTATTCTAGACTTAATTGAGTACGCTATGCCGAAATTAGTGCAAATCGAATGATTTTCAGGGACTTTGGTGCTTCATTTTCCTAAAATCGGGCGAAACTATACATTGGGGACTATATCTAGATCTGCACCGATTTCCACGAAACTTAGCCCACGTCATTCTAGACACAATTCAGTATACTATGCGAAAATTCGTGCAAATCTAATGATTTTCAGGAACTTTGGTGCACCATTCACCCAAAATCGGGCGAAACTATATATGGGAACTATATCTAAATCTGAACCGATTTTCACGAAACTTAGCACACATTATTATAGACCTAATTCAGTAGGCTATACCAAATTTCGCGCAAATCGAAAGATATATAGGGACTTTGGTACACCATTTACCTTAAATCGGGCGAAACTATATATGGGAGCTATTTCTAAATCTGATCCGATTTTCACGAAACTTAGCACACGACATTTTAGACTTAATTCAATACACTATGCCAAAATTCGTGCAAATTTAATGATTTTCAGGGACTTTGGTGCACTATTTTCCTAAAATCGGGCGAAACTATATATGGGAGCTATATCTAAATCTGAACCGATTTTCACGAAACTTAGCACACATCATTATAGACCTAATTCAGTAGGCTATACCAAATTGAAAGATACATTTGCATTAAATCGGACGAAACTATATATGGGAGCTATATCTAAGTCTGAACCGATTTTTTGGGCCAAATAAGTGACATATACCAAATTTCATCCAAATCGGATTACAAATGCGACCTGTACTTTGTTCATGTCACAGACGGACATGCATAAATCGATTCAGAAAGTGGTTCTATGCATATTCTCAAAAGGAACCATGGGTCTATCTCGATTATTTTTGCCTATTACAAACATATGCACAAAGACATAATACCCTGTACCACAGTGTGGTGGGCAACATTATATGGACGCTAGTATTTAAATGGTTGTAGGAAGATTTTCTACTCGATGAGAATCCAAAATATAATATTACACCCAAATTGGATGAATAGTGAAAAATAATAATAATTTCGGAATGATCATTTTTAGTTGGAAAGCCCATAAACGGTATAAAATGTTCCCAAAAGCTTCAAAATAACGAATATAGTGTATTACTGTTATATGGGGGCTATCACGAAATATGAACCAATATTTATAATTTTATGGTAAGGAGATTTTATTACCAATGAGAATCCTTAATATATAGCCAATTCGATTGACAAACGTGTCCAATATACGAAATATTGGGTGATATCGTTATATGAGGGCTAACATAAAAGTTGGATAAATAAATCCAATCTATAATACCAAACGACCTAGAAGTAATATCAATATATGTCCAAAATTTCAGAGCTCTACCTTAAATATTGCGAACTCCATCGTGATTTCAACAGAAGGATATGCCTCAATCGACATAGGATTCTATTCTGATCATGAATATAGATGTTGCAGATTGGTAAATTCAATATACACTCCCTCTTTGTAAGGAAGGGTAAAAAATATCTTTAAAAAATTCAAAATCATTGAAAAATATATTTTTTTATCTACGCTTAGTCTTGATTTAGATTAGGCGAGTTTACTTGCGGCAAGTCTTTGTTTGTAGGAGTGAGGGGCAAGGGGTATAGAAATGAAAAAAAATTGCTCGTACCGACAATTTTCTGGCAATTCGTTTTGTGTTTTTCGTATTTGTTGACATTTTATATATATTTAAATGTGAAAAAACAACAAATAAAAAAATATTTTGGAAACCGAATTGCCTTGTATAGACGCATGGAGCAAGTTCAAAAGATAACGATAAAAATTGCCGCAAGTAAACTCGCCTAATATAAATCAAGACTTACGGTTATGAAACTTTATCGAATATTAATCTTTCAAGAACCCACCCATAGTTCTGATACCTTATCGAAAATTACTCTTTAAAAAATCCACGTTTATGGTTCGGAAAATTTCTCTGAATTGATTCATTAAACAAGTGAAAAAGTGTCGGTCGGTGTTGCCGATAGAAATATACCCCCGGAGGTCTTCGGAATTACACACAGATTTTATTATTAGCTTTGTGAGGGAGGTACCGGAAGGAATGGACCAATGGGTCCCATTTTCAAACTTGATCTAGGCTTGATAAAGATAATGGGTTGTGCAAATTTTGTTTCATATCGGACATTCCATTCGCCTGCTATTGGATTTAGAAATTTTGACCATTTGTGGGAGAGGTACCAGAAGGAGTGGGCCAATGGGTCCCATATTTTGACATAATCTAGGCTTAATAAAGATAATAGCTTGTGCAAAGTTTGGTTCAAATCGGATAGTCCTTTCGCATGATATTATAAAATTAATTTTTAGCACAATTTTGACCATTTTGTGGGGGATGTTCCGGAAGGAGTGGACCGATATTCGCCATCTTCGAACTTAAACTAAGTTTGAAAGAAATATTACAGTGTGCAAAGTTTGTACGAAATCAATTGATCTCTTCGAGAGTTATCGTGCGTACCAACCATGCGGACGGACAACGGAGGGATGGACATTTTTAATTCGACTCCAAATTGTCTGAAACGGATTTTTTCCAAAGAATATACCTTGAAAATCCTTGCTTATGGTAGTTTTTATATAGGTTTGGAAAAATACTACAATTTGCAAAGTTTGGACCAAATCAGATATCTTGATATTGGATTAATATATTCTCAAAATGTTAACCCAAATGTGGGAAAGGTATCGGAGGGAGTGAACCAACGGATCCAATTTTCCCATTTGATCTAGGATAAGTAAAATATTATTGTCTAGGCTATGTTAAATATCTGTTCACTCCATATGAGATTTACAAGTTTTCAAAATTTTGACCATTTGTGGGGGAGGTACTAGAAAGAGTAGACTAACAAGTCCCATCTACCAAAAAAAAATTATAATAATAAGACATGGTTAAAATATTAGCTATGTAAAGTTTAGTTCAAATTGGATAGTACGTTCTCATGTTATTATGAAATTAATTTTCAACAAAATGTCTCAATTTTTTAGCGGGAGGCACATTACCAACATTCCCCATCTTCGAACATGAACTAAATTTGAAAGAAATATTACGATGTGAAAAGTTTGGATGAAATCGGTTACACTTTTCGAAAGTTATCGTGCGCACCAGCTGGTCAGACCTTTGTAAATCGACCCCAAATTATAAGAACCGTATTTGGTCCATAGAAACCTGAGGTTTAAAACCATCATTTTTACCTTAGCAAAGTGTATATACCCTCACTAGCCATAAGACAGAGAGTATAAAAATCCGACGCAATATCTTAATATAAAGATGCTATATATCAACCTCCATTTCATGTAAAAAAATATAAAAAGCACAGTTTACTTACCTGAAAATATAATTCAACACCTTTTGCTTTGGCCAATAATTGTATGGATATTTCAATTGCTCTTCAAATATATCTCCACAATTCCAATCTAGCCTTTAGATTCCAATAAGATACTCATTTCAGCACCATACTTAATTAAAAATACATTTTTTATTTTAAATTATAGCTAAGGTTTTCCCATTTCACATAAAAATTTGCTTTTCGTGAACAATTGAAGCGGCAATTAACCAAGAAAAAAATAATTTATATTTTTCCCACTTTTTTTGCATTCCAACATGATTGTTTTTGAAATGCCTTTGCATTTTTACATGGGAACGGCATTGCCATATGCGATTTCAAACAACCCTACAATACAACTCTGTTTTTCGGCAAACTGTCAAATGGGGTGGAAATGAGTACCGAATACCAAATGATATGATGATATGGTAGCCATTTTTCTTTCTTTTCGAAAAATCCTCACGCAAGTGACAAGGTAAAATAATTTTTTTTAATAAAATTTCATGAAAATATGCAATATTTGCTAAAAATGACAATGAAATGTGAAAACTTGTGTAGCACCATGTGTGGGTGATTGAAATTTTATACGGGGCTAATTGGCAAAAGCGAAAAATATGTGAATTTATGAATCACACACGTGTTTTGGCTTGCACAAAGGGCCATCGGGGAACGTCATTAAAAAATAAGTTGCTAATTTCGTTTTTCTTGTGGTGTCTTCTATTTCAGAACACATCAACATGCAATTGTTTGTACGTGGTTTGGAAAACATTGAGACTCTTGATGTCCAACAAGATGTCACCATTGCCGCTGTTAAGGTAAGTGATGAGAAGGAGTGTGTGTGTGAAATTGGAAAACAGTGAGGCGTCAACTGGCCACAGAGATAATCTGCTGCTGCCTGCCTTTTTTTGTTGATGTTATAACCTCATTTTTTTCCGACATTTGTTTAATGTGAAAAATGTTGAGTGAATTTTAATTTGGTTTTCTCTTTTTTTTTTTGTGTGTTTAGGCCCACATTGCCCAGCTCCATGGCTACAACACTGAGGAAATCGTTTTGAACTGCGAAGGCAATGCCTTGGCCAACGAAACCCCCATCTCTGCCTTGTCCTCTTTCGAATTGGACATCACCATCCCAATGTTGGGTGGTAAAGTGCACGGTTCTTTGGCTCGTGCCGGTAAAGTCAAGGGTCAAACCCCCAAGGTAGAAAAGCAAGAAAAGAAAAAGAAGAAGACCGGCCGTGCTAAGAGACGTATCCAATACAATCGTCGTTTCGTCAACACCGTCTCCGGTTTCGGACGTCGTCGTGGCCCCAATGCCAACTCCGCTTAAGAAGTGCATTGCTGAAGTAGTAGTTTTTTAAATATCTATACAAAACTCACAAAAAATGTTGATTTTAGTAATTTCCATATAAAGAAAAAAAGTGAAACACTCAAAAACAACAAAACACACAAATTTTGTTTTTGTTATTTTTTGCAATCATCGACGACGAATGCAACTAGTGAAGTGGGAAAAGTTTTTATTTGGATTTTATTTGATACGACGATATTCATAAAACTAATTAATTAGAGAATATGGTTCGTTTTGATGCATCGTCATATTTTTCTTGCCAACGTTTATATAGGTACTCCAGTAGTATAATCAAGAGGGCAACAAGGGAACCTGAAATTGAGGGAAAACAAAAAATGTGTGAGAACAAACAATTGTGCTAAGATATTGATAATATATTGAGGCGTATCGAAAAGCTCACAGTAATAGCTTATAATTACAAAAAAATTTTAATTACGTTATAGAAATCATACTGTTGTTTTAGAGGATAGAGGTTAGCCGACGAATATTTATACGAATTATACTACCAAATTGTTTTATAAAAATGTCCACATGATTACCTAAATAATGCCCAATCATCGGAATTAGTCAAATTAGAGACCCGTGTTGATCATTTTGAATTTAATGTTTATCACATGTAGTTGAAAGCGCCGTGTTTACAACCCCTCCAATGTTCAGTTGCAACATATTCGTGATCAGAATAAAATTTTTGAAGTCACAATAGCTCTCAATATTTAAGATAAGTTTTGCAGGTACATTGTTATCACTTCCAGGGTGTTCGATATTGAACATGAGATGTATTGGTTCATGTTATGGTATAGTCCCCATATAAGGGTACCACCGAAATATTCGGTACTTTAGGAAGTTTAGACACGTTTATTAACCAAATTGCCTATAGTTTGTTACTTGGCGTTCTACATACCAAAAATTATCAATATATGTCTGCTTTTTAGGAAAACCCCAATATAACAATACCCCCATTATTTTTTATTTGGGAATTTTTTTTTTTACATTTTTTTTAAATAATTGATGTCGAGAATTGGAAAGCAACTTTCTAATTTAGGTATCAGTTTGATTCGATCGATGGAATGCCTTATCCAAATATCGGTTCCAGACTTAAAGGAGATAATTGGTTCTCACATTCACACAAATCAAATATTGGAGAAAATAAATACAACAGTCGGTGTTGCGGAGATCTACGGAATCTGTGGAGAGGTATCAGAAAAGCTTGCTCTATAGAAATATATGTTTGGATGTTTGTGGGGTGGATTGACGAATCCCATAATCGGTCATGATGTAATTTTGGTAAAAGGAGTGGATCGATGGGTCCCATATTCGGTCATGATCTATGTTTAGTAAAAGTATTACGATTTGCAAAGTTAAGATCAAATATTGAATTAACAAATTTTCAAAATTTTTGCAATTTGTGGGGGAGTTACCAGACGGAGTAGATTGATGGGTCTTTTCTTCGGACTTGATCTAGCCAAAGGTAAAAATATTATGATGTGAATAGTTTGGATCAAAAGCGGGCATTCTATTCGTTTGATATTGAATTAACAAATTTTCAAAATGTTGACCCTTTGTGGGGAAGGTACCAGTAGAAGTGGGCAGACGGGTCCCATCTTTGGACATCATATAGGTAAAGTAAACATATTACGTTGTGCAATGTGTCAATGGAATTGAATATTCCATTCGCTTCATATTACATGTACAATTTTTCAACATGTTGACCTTTGTTGGGTATGCATCAGAAGGAGTGGGCCGGTATATCCCATTTTTCAACTTTATATAGTCATAGTTATTATATTAGGTTGTACAAAGTTCCGATAGTTCAGGTGATAATTTAAAATTTTATAATTTTGTGAGGTAGTTACCAGAGGGAGTGGATCTATATTCACCATCTTCGAACTTGATTTAAGTTTGGAATAAATATTGCGATGTCCAAAGTTTGAATGAATGGTTACTACTTCTGAGTTATAGTACGCAACAGCCGGCCAGGCATTTGTAAATCAACTAGAAATTGTCTGAAATGGATTAGGTCCAAAGAAACATGGGTTCTAAAAGTAATATTTCGATTAGGCACAAATTTGCCGCGAATGATTAAGTCGAAAATTGCAATATTTGACTATTAAACGTGGATGAAATAGAGTTTTGAACCCGGCAGTGCTATTCTGTAACTCTTCAATGTTACCGACAAATATCGGTAAAATTAAAACACATTTTTGTCATATTAAAACTAAAATTTATGATAACTTTTTCATATCTGTCGGTAGGGTTTAACGACTATTTTTTTTGGTCATTAACTTACCGCATATCTTCGATGATCAATGAACTTATAAGCTAATGAAAATTTGAAATTATCGACAATCGTCGGTAATTCTGTCGTTAAGCAATTACAGAATAGCACTACTGATCTATGATTTACCATTGTGATTCCCAATGACGCTTACATAACATATTTTTAATATTAGAAACATAATAGTTCCGTTCCAGAACCTAAAAGAATCTACTAATTTTACAAGTTTTGCAACTTTTTACTCAAAAACCGTTCCTGAACCCACAAAACTGGTAAAACTTTGAACCAACTTTAAGAGAGCACAAAACAAAATGGCGTTCTCTTTGTAAACTTTTTACTGGAGAAATTTGGCCGAGTAAAAATGGTAAACAGGAATGTCTACTTCTGATTGGCTGTTATGTTGATGTTGAAGTATTGCCATCTAATTTTGGCATATTTTCTAGATTTGCGTTCCCGAACTTTTCAAATTATTTTGTACTCTGAGAGCGATTTTGAAATGTTTCCCTTTTACTAGCTTTACTATTAAAAAAGTACTGGAACAGACCAAATGTATATCCATATCCTTATCCATTTATGTAAAAATCTATTATATTCTTTTCAAAATATTACCTAATAGCAACACCAAAAAGCATCCTTGCATATCATCCAAATTGACTTTATGATTTGTTATTTGACGCATAACGCCGCGGCCATTACACTTGTCCATCGATGGTAGATTTGTCTGATGCCATCGTTCGATGAAACCCATTTGACTTAATCGCGTTATTTGTTCATTCAATAAAATCAAATAAGGACTATTGCTGGGCATCAGCATGGCAATTTGCTCATCGAGGAAATTTTCTTTACCCAGTGTAAATTTACATTCTTTTTCCTTCTCGAAATGTTTTTGTATTATCAACTGTAGATTGATGCGCCAATCTATATTGACACGTTCCCCCCGTTTAACAGCTTCAATATTTTCCTCGCGTAAATTATTGTAGATAATTGCCTTATCCAAATATTTGGTGAATTCTTTACGGGTTGAGGTCTGTAATGAGATAGAGAGGGAGGGATGATACAATTTATTAAGTTATCAATTAATATATAGAAAATATAATTATAATAAAAAATAAAATATAATTATAATTATAATTCAGTTATTGTCGAGCTTTTTATAATACACACATCGTGGTTTGCATCAAAAAATTACTTAAATCGGTCGGGATCTTTATATGGGGGCCAAGGCATCTGCTTTAATGGGGACTACGTTATTGCATTTTGTGGTAGTAGATCGTTTATGCTCCGAAAAATTTAATTTATTTTTTATTACAGATACTCAGGTTGAAACATTTTTGTAGGAATTTCAACATTCCGAACATTTAACGGAACATTTTTATTGGTGTATTGAAAGACATTGGAAAACTTCTGAAAAAAGTTGTTCATTCACGATTGGAAAATTCGGTTAAAAATTTATTAATATTGAAAATGGGGTGGGGCCCTTTAAAACACTGATATATGTCAACCGTCGTTTTTGGTAGGAAGACTTGACACAACATCAGAATCTGAAAAAATAAATTAGAGAAAATTCGTTTGAAAAACGTGTCCAAAAATATCAAAAAATCAGGGGTACCATCATGGTACAATAATACAAGGTAGGGCAACTTGAGGTGAATAACAAAAAATCAACTATGTACGTGTGGCCTCTTCTGCCAAAAATAAAGTAAATATACGCAACAAGTATTTGTGTTTATTTGACTTTTTTCAACACAAAACTAAAAACGCGAAAAATGAATGAAAGGTTATAATTTCTAACAAAAATTCCGGTAGGGAATACCATCAAACGTTTGTTTCATCAATAACAAAGAAATTACTTCCAGACGAAGATGTTAAAAACATAATTTTCATTTCAATTAAACTTGAATATATTCCAATTTATTTTGAATTTATTTGACATTGTATTCAAAACAATACACACACAAAATATGTATTTTGATTTGATGGAACAAGCCACCTTGAGAAAAAATTGTAATCAGTTGGTAGTTGTGCCCTACCTTGTAATAATTATACCATGGGTACCATCATGGTACAATTATAAAATGGTACATGCTACAGCAAGTCCCAGCTGATTTGATTCCAATATGAATTTGACAAATTATGTTTTTAAAAATCACCCGACCGGAAAATTGGGAACGCATACAATTCGAAATTGTTCTTTATTAAATGTCCTCCCGTAGACTGCCGCCAGTCAACCATTTTGCGTTCAAATTTAAGATACTACCGTAAAATATAACAGCATAACGCCGTCACAAAGGTTTCATTTGACGGCTTCGGGTTGCTCTGCCTTGCCATGGCAGACAGTTTGAGGTTATTGTCAACACTAAAATATTTGAAACGATATGCGAAGTTCTATTTGCTAACTTAAAAGGTATTGCCAGTATAAACGATAGTTTTCGCGTACCATTAACAAATAAAGAGCAAAAAATTTTTCGTCTTTAATGTCTCTAGAAATAATACAATTTTTATAAAAGATTTGTGTGTGAAATGTATTTCAAGAAGAAGGAAACAATTCTATACATAAAGTAAATTCAAAAAAGTGATTTATTGACTTTTTGTTTAGTAGTATTTTGTGATTTAAGGCCGCAGTATTTGTCATGCATTGTAATTTCAACACGGTTGAGCATGGTTTTTAAAGTTTTTGCATACAAGTGTACGGGACAGCGGTTGTGTTATCGCTAATTTAATAAGTGTAATATTATATTGCAACCTATGTTCTATCTTTGGACTGATCGGATTTGTTATTTCATACATTAATGTGTGTTGAAGAACTTCTGCCCAATTTAGCAAGATGAAAATCTTGAACAGTGTTTTTATTGTGAGTATTAAATCAATTTTCGGGAAAACCAATAACTAATTGCAGCTTGTGCAATATTATAGGTAGCGAATCCGTCCACATCTATATCCCCTGCAAGATAACACATTTTCAGGAAGTTTTCATGGTGAGTATTAAGTGTAGGGCCGGCAGCATATCATTTAGCAACTTAACGAATGTACTCCTAAGGGCCTTGATTGCAATTACTTACATTTTCTTATTACGGCTGTTTCGAGTATTTTCGATATTGCCATTAACGTAATATAGTTATAATTTTGAAGCAGTCGATCTGATTCTGATTGCAATAATTTTTAGTTATTATCATTAATAAAACCTTTGGAGATGTAAATCTTTCTTCTATGGACAGATCTGACAGCACCCATAATGCAACAGGATTTCATTTGAAATAAAATGTAACCGAATTTACATTTTATTAATTTGGAAGAAGGTACTCTGTGTATTAAAGAAATATCCGATTGATATTTATAGTGGCATTGATGATATTAAAACGAATGAGAAATACATTGGTCCAATGGAACTTTGGTGGATGATATATCAGGAAGTTAGAATCAATATGTCTAGTGATACTAATATTAAACGATTCAAAACTATCCGCTACCGGATCGTAAAGTAATAGGGCAGGCTGAGACACCTTTGGCAACGGGACATATTCGACAATGACGATATGAAGCTCTCATTATACATCACTAGCATTGATCTATAGGTATCGAATATCAGAATAAATAACTGTCTCAAAGTATGAAATCTCTAGCTAAAAAGTTTATTTAGAAGTACGATTTTTTGTATTTTATAGATGTTTCTGTAATATTTTCATTCCATTTCGTAAGTATTTCGTGTATATTTTTTTTTTGTATTCGAAGGCAGTATTATAAAAAAGCCGTTAATTACAATATATATGTATATATATTTATTTATTCTTATAAAAATAATTAAAGATATGTTTTTAGAAGATTCATAGAAAACAAATGAAAAGGACTAAAGAAAATAGCTACTGAAATGCATCTGGTCCAAAACACGAGGTCTAATACCCATATTTCCATGATCACATTTTGCCGAGGGTATATACACCCTCGTTATACATAACGTTAAGGGTATACAATTCCACAGCCTACAAGGGTGCACAGCCTACAAGGGTGCACAGCCTACAATAACATAGTCTCCATATAAGGTTCCTAACCGATTTTCAGTATTTCGACGAATGTTAATTTAAAGGCGGATGATGATATAAAATCTTCGGCCTTACCTAACTTAATGACGTTTTCACTTGCTGTTGTATGATGCTTAGGTAAATAGGTTTATCTGGAAAGACTTGACCTATCATTTCGAACGTAAATTAATTTTCTTATTGGGCCATAATCCCGGGAGTGCTGAAATACCAGGTCAATGTCCTCCGATGGAGAATCTATCAGATCTAAAGCTGATAAGAACATATACTACAATTTGAACTTAGCCATGAGGCCTAGAAGATGTGTTTATAACGAGCCGCTTTGGTTGAGTATAATATCTTTACATGATTAGAAATAAAAAATCTATTTTTCCGAATGTTTTTAATTGCCAAATAAAACATTCGTCGCTATTAACGCTACATTTATATATGTTTTATGCTATACCGTTGTTTTGCTTGTTATATTCGTTAGTTTTCAATGACGATTTCCGTAATACGCCTAAAAGTGTGCTTTTATTTCATAACCGACTGACTCATACAGATAAAACGGTGCTGGACACACAATTTGAAAAACTCAACATCCTCCCAAAAGTATGCTTCAAATTGATAACATATTTCATAGAGAAACTGTTTTATCGACTCCTCTACTATTTTTTTGATAATGCAGGGCATCGACGTTAACAACTTTCGCTTTTAAATCAATACAATTTAAAACAAAAATATTCACTCCAATCCAATGAAAATACATTATTCACAATAGTGTAATTTTAGATTACATTGCTAACATTTTATTCTGATACCATCAACATATGTGTAGGGAATAAATTTGTCATATTCTTCGGAGACCCCATAATGTATATACGTATATACCTAATTTATAAATCGTGATCGACGATTATAAAGATCGGTCCGTATTTTCTAAATTTGAATGTTTTTGTTGAAATATCCAACCGAAGCGGTTGTAATATAACATTCCGAGCTCTTTAAGGGTAAATAAAAATTGTTGAGAAATTATTGTTGACCTTTGGACTTTCTTTTTTATTCGAAGAAAAGTTTTAACGCACGTCTCCAATATGGTTATAAGTAGACATTTTGAGATTTTCGGAGTTTTAAAGACTATTAGCAGAAAATTTTGAAGATTAGGTATACCATCTTTTTTAACAGGTCTCGGTTTGTTTAGAATATAGAATGTGCAGTCGGCAGTCACTTAGCGGTTGTTTTCTCTCCGAGATCCTTCGTTCACTGTGTTTATCCGGAGCGATAACGGTCGCTACTTACTTAGCTGGCTTGTGACAGAACATTTGTTCCACAAGCGGAGCTTAAAAAGGCGCGTCGGTCTTGTGTGCAGCTATACCAATTTGAAGGACCATGTTCCGAGATGTTGTCTTCCACTTGATCTTTCCATTGAATTCGTGGGCTTCCCTTCTAGGTGAACCAACAGTTGGCTCGCTTTTATATACCTTTCGAGCTGGGGCATTCTCATCCATTCTCACAACATGGCCTAACCAACGTAGTCGCTGCAGCTCGATATGTCTGACTATGTCGATGAACGAGAATAGATGCTACAACTGTCAACGCAGATCGGCCCATTGATTTTTCAGAGAATTTTTCTCTTAAACACTCCAAGAGCTGCCTCATCTGCTTGCTCAAGTACGCATGCTTCAGATCCATACTACAGCACGGGTAGTATCAGCGTCTTGTAGAGTGTTTATTTGGTCTGGTCTTGTTGACCTTGCTTACTTAGACCATAGTAGCATCTGTTCTTCAACACTATACTACTCCGAATTTCAAAACTGATATTAGTTTCATTCATGGCGGTACTAAGGTATAAAAAATCTTTTACTACTACGAAACTGTAGTTCTCAAGTTCCACAATTGTTCCGAGTCTACTGGACGCGTTGATACCATCAGCTTGGTCTTCTCGTCATTTACTGCCAGACTCACTTTGGCAGACTCCTTATTAATTTGTTCAAAGGTAGCTGTTATCGCTCGCAATGTTCGACCCATTAGATTCGTGTCATCGGCATAGGCGAATAACATGTGTTGTTTGGTGTACAGAGTGCCATTTCGTTTCACCTTGGATCCCGTACGACCTTTTTCAGCACGATGTTAATAAGATCACACGAAAAACTGTCATCTTCTCTGAATCCTCGTTCGGTATTAAAAAGCACCGAGATGTTCTTTGCGACTTTTACTGCTGACCTTGTGCTAGTTAATGTTATCCTGCATAGCCGTATTATTTTTGCAGGAGCGTCGGAATCCGAAAATTACAACGGTGTTAGAAAGAGTATATGTCTGGCTCTCGTATGAACTAGGATTATTGACTTCGTTCTAAAATTAATAAAATGGCGGAACTTTAAAAAAATATTTTTGGAAAATCGCCGATTTTACCAAAAAAATAAGGAAGATCTTCACCGATCGGCTTTATCCTAGTTCATATGATAGCTATAAACTCACAGAGAAACATGTAAAAATTTGGAATCGATTGTACCCGCCATTCTCAAAAGAGAAAAACGCGTTTAAAGTTTGAGAAACCCTTTAGCCGTCACTTGATGCTGACACAATAAATCGGCTATATCTTCAAGAGTTCTTGAGTTTTCACTTGAAATTTTGTAGGACATTCTTGAATTAGTGCAAATTCGAATTAAATAAAAAAAAAAAAAAAAAAAAAAAAAAAAACAAAAAAAAAATTGACCCCGAGAATGGGGGGTCCCCTTAATATGCTATGAGAAAGAAACTTATTGTTCTATAGTTGGCACATATCGTCCTGTCTCATTTTTTGTGAGGTTCCAATTATTGGGCATGCACTCCTCTAGCCAACTTGTACTAATCAGCTGGTGAATGCTCCAGTCCAGCATCGGACCACCGGTCTTGAATAGTTCGGCTGGTAATCCATCGGCACCTGCCATCTTCAACCGATTAATTGCTACTCTGACGTCATCTTGGCTAGGTGGTATACAATCTATACAGTAATCTCTTATTGTTTCTGGGGTATATTCTTTACCGCCACTATTTGATACCAGAAGCTTTCCAAAATGCGCTTTCCAGATCCTCGATCCACGCGATCTGTATCTGTCACAAGATTTCCATCTTCATCTCTACAGGAGGATGTGATTGCACCAAAGCATGCGGTTTGGTGTTTTACTCGTTGGTAAAATTCAGGACTTCGTTCTGACTCCTGTACATATCGATTTTCTCCCGCTCACGTTTTTCTTGTCCTTTCTTCTATTTTCTGAAAATACGTTTCTCCTTTCTTCTTTTCTTCCGATAATTCTCCCTCGCATTGCTACTGTCTGCAGGGTTTCCCGTACATCAGTAGCATTACGACACTCTTGATGGTGGTCATTGATACCCAAGTTTTGCTTCTGCTGCATTTTGTAGGGAGTGGGCAATTCTTTGCCATTGTGATTCATATTATCATCGGGACAAGGGGTTAAGATCAGCGATGTATGCTTCTGCTATCTGTTGTGTTTGCAGCTTGCGACGTGGAGTTTCCATCAATATTTGGTCCTCGGACGAATGTCTAAAACTCTGGATGAATGCTTTCCGTCTATGACAACATGATCAATTTGATTTCTCGTTGTTTGATTGGGAGAAATCCAAGTAGGCTTGTGTATATCGAGATGCTTGAGTCTGGTGCTGCTAGCTGCCGCGAAGTCAATCAACCTCTTGTCGTTGTCTGCTGTTTCTTCATGGAGGCTGAATTTTCCGACGGTGCATTATGCATTAAAATCTCCTAGCAGAATTTTAATTTGTTTATACGGATTATAGAAATTCGATCATATACTGAAGTGAATCTGGGGACGAGGTCTTTTATTCTCCAGATAACCTCAATAAAGATAACCTCAGCCAAATTCATGTCTTGTTTCATGGTAGCTACAATACAGTGCGTCATCGTTTGATATACTAAAGCCTGTCCCTTTCCATCGCATTTCCTGATGGGCAATACTGTCGGCATTGTACTTCTTGAGTACATCCGCCAAAGCGAAAATTGCGCCTGTTCTCTACCATGTTCACACATTCCAAGTGTAGATTCGCAAATCGGGGTCCTTTATACGTATGCGGGGGTCGTCAACACTAGGGGGGTTTAGTTTTCTTAGCTTTTTCACAGTAGGTGACAGCGCGTGGAAGCCAGTTGTAACAATTGTTATGAAAGAGGGACCAAGATATGTCTGGGGTTTCAATCAGAGCCGTTGCTTGGTATCTATAATCCCCTACGTAGCGGTCGTTAGGTGATGAAATTTAATGTTATAATTTAACCATTAGAGTAACTTCTGGTAATGTGGACCATGCGTCAAATGTGGACCACCCCCCATATCTAAGAAAATGCTTGAAATATGTCAATGCCGCCTTGATAAATGTTTTCCTAATTAGTGAAAACAAACATCAAACTTGGTTTTTAATAAATAATTGCAATGTTGAAAATTTAGTAGGGGTGGTACGCTTAAATGGGGCCAAAATGGTACGCTTAAATGGGGTAATGGGGCCAAAATGGTACGCTTAAATGGGGCCAATTCCAAAACATGGACCCATATATTTTTGCATTCATTGTTACCCAAGAGTGCAATAAATTGAAATTTATCACAATTAATCCACAACCTACTTTTAACTTACTGATCCTCATTACCCACACATACTGGTCCACATTACCCGCCAAGTTATTTTTATTTGCAGTTTAGAGTTTTTTGAAATATAATGCAATAACATTTTTATGGACAAATATATATAATTTTTGACCTGGAATATAATTAGCCAACAAATCTACCATGCTGTGAAAACAATTTGTTTTTATTTTTTACCGTTGTTACGCCCACAATATCAAAAAAAGAAAATGGTGGTCCACATTACCCGAAGTTACTCTACCGATTTTTGGCAATATCATGATTTGTTATGGGAACTACGTCGGATTATAGAATGATATATTATCAATATCGTATATGCCGAAGAGCCGATGGCTTTCACTACATAGCAATTCACATTTACGTATTAGATCTTTTTCAACGTCTCCTCATATTCTGAACTGTAGTCCACTTCATTGACAAGAGCATATTGGATGTGAGAGATCGGATACTGCAGTCACCTGTTATGATACCTACAGTGTTTTTGATTTTGACATAGGGTAAGTTAAGAAAATTCCGTCCATCTGCTGTCTGCTTTATCACAAAATATCTTAAGGACTTTCTCAAGGTAATATCAAAAACTTGATCTCAGAGATCTTCAACCTCTAGATTGGACGTCTGTGCCCCAAGATTAACAACTTACCGCTGCATATTTTTCAAAATATGTACCATTCCGCAGGCCAAACTGTTCATATTCATTATGCTTATACAGTTGAAAGAAGTAATCCAAGCCGGGTTGGAATCTCGGAAATGTTAAGAATGCCACCAAATTACCACAATAGGTGGTGACAATAACTGTTACGACAATCCACCAAAATCCGATTACCAAACGTCCACTATCCGCTTGTGGTAAATACATGCCACCTGTAACAAATATCCGAAATTAACAAAAGTGGAAACATTTTTTTATTTTCACTTGAAACTCACCCTGCTGCAGTATGGCACCATAAATATACCAAAAACAATTTTTAATTGTTGAAAATCCTTTAACTTTCAAATGTTCAACGGGTACAAAACGATTTATGATGAAGAGAACGGGTGATGTTATTACAATTACTCCAACCAGTGATGCCCAGGTCTGAAAGAGTAATGTTTTGAAAATTTAAAGGTGCACTTTAAAAATAAGACATTGTTGGGCCGTGTAATTACCTCCAGGGTAAATGGTGCTGTAAATAAGTAGATACGACTAACTTCATCGGGTCTCCTGGAGATAAATGAATATTTTTGTATACTAATCGGTATGGTGTAATTAAAGGGTTTCTTGTCGGGATCATCAACGGTTGCTGCCACGGCTGCCATGAAATACTGGAGGGATATAAGGAAATTATGTCAGGATAAACAGAAATTAAGATAAGCTGCCGAAATATCGATAATAATATAAGTATTACTGCTAGGAGATTTTAATGCAAAATTCAGCCTCCATGAATTATACGACAACGGCATGAGGTTGATTGACTTCGCGGCAGCAAAAAACATGGTAGTTAGTAGCACCAGATTCAAAGATCTCGATATACACAGAGCCACCTGGATTTCTTCCGATCAAATAACGAGAAATCAAATTGATCATGTTGTGATAGACGGAAGTCATTCACCCAGTCTTTTAGACGTTTGATCGATCCGAGGAGCGAATATCGATTCGGACCACTAGCTTGTGACAGCCAATGTTCGCACCGGTCTTAATGTAGCAGCAAAGGTGCGATCTAACGTAACACGGAAACTCGTCGCCGAAAAGCTGCAAACACAACAGATAGCAGAAGATTACTCCGCTCAACTTACCCACCTGCTTGAGGAAAGCACTCCTTGTCCCGATAATAATATAGAAACACAATGTCAAACAATTGTCCACTCGCTACAAACTGCAGCAAAAGCAACTCTTGGGAACCGAAAACTAACACCAAGAAACCCATGGTACGATCAGGAGTGTCATAATGCTACTGATATGAAAAACGCAGCATATAGGGCAACCCCGCAGACTGCAGTAACACGTAATGCGATGGAGAATTATCGGGAGAAAAGGAGAGAGGAGAAACGTATTTTCCTGCCAAGAAACTGCATATGACCGCAAGGCCAACTGGATCTCTCCTGATCAAACAACGAGAAATCAAATTGATCATGTTGTGATAGACGGAAGGCATTCGTCCAGAATTTAAGATGTTCAATGTTACGTGGAGCGAATATCAATTCGGACCATTACCTTGTGACAGCCAAGGTTCTCACCCGCCTCAATGTAGCAGCAAAGGTGCGATCTAATGTAACACGGAAACTCGACGTCGAACAGCTGCAAACACAATAGGTAACAGAGGCCTACTCCGCTCAAATTACCCACCCACGAAAGCACTTCTTGTCCCGATAATAATATAGAAGCACATTGGCAGAGAATTGCCCACTCCCTACAAACTGCAGCAAAAACAACACTTGGGTACCAATAACCAGCATCAAGAAACACATGGTACGATCAGGAGTGTCGTAATGCTACTAATCTAAAAAACGCAGCACACCAAACTGAATGTTTTGATGCAGGCTCATCCTCCTATAGAGATGAAGAAGGAAACCTGGTGACAGATACAGACAGCATGTTGAGGATCTGGAAGAAACATTTTGAAAAGCTTCTGGTATCAAACAGTGGCGGTGAAGAAGATATCCCGGAACCAAAAAGAAATGACGGTATAGATTATACACCTCCTAGTCAAGATGAGGTCAGAGTAGCAATTAATCGGCTGAAGAACAATGAAACAGCAAGTACCAATGGATTACCAGCCGAACTATTCTAGATCGGTGGTTAGATGCTGGTCAGGAGCATGCACCAGTTGATTAGTACATGTTGGCTAGAGGAATGCTGCCTAATGATTGGAACCTCCGCATCCTGTGACCCGTGCACAAAAGGATACAAGAGATATGTGCCAACTATAGAGGAATAAGTCTACTTCCCATCGCATATAAAGTGCTATCCTGGGTACTGTGTGAATGACAGACGCCAATGGTCAATGACCAAACTCTAATGGCGCAAGACGTCCAGTAGAATCGGATCAACTGTGGATTTTGAGAACTACAGCTTCGATGTAGTCAAAGATTTTATATACCTTGGTACCGCTATAAATGAAACTAATGACATCAGTGTTTAATTTCGGAGAAGGATAGTGTTGCTCAACAGACGCTACTATGGTCTAAGTAGCAAATTTAAGAACAAGGCCACCTCTCTCCAGACCAAACTCAAAGTCTACAAGACGCTGATACTACCAGTGCTGTTGAATGGATCTGAATCATGGGTATTTGCGCAAGCAGATGAGGCAGCTTTTGGAATGTTTGAGAGAAAAATTCTGCGAATGATCTATGGGCTGATCTGCTTTGACGGTGAATATATTCTCGGACATCGACATATCAAGCTGCAGCGACTACGTTGGCTAGGTCATGTTGTGAGAATCGATGAGGATTCCCCAGCTCAAAAGTCATATAAAAGCGAGGTAACTGATGGATCTCGTATAAGGGGAAGGCCACAAATTCGATGGAAAGATCAAGTGGAAGACAATATCTCGGAGCATGACCATTCAAATTGGAAGAGCGGCACACAAGACCGACGCACCTGAAAATCTTTTTTAGCACGGCTTATGGAACAAATGTTCTGTCGCAAGTCAGCCAAGTATGTAAGTAAAATAAGTATTACTAACCTTATTTGCCTGTAACATTTCTGCCACTTGATATGGTATTATATAGGTCAATGAACCCAATAGTTGATCCTGAAAATAGAATAAAGAAACATAAATTTCTTAATTCTGAAAAAAACAACAACAAATATCAATAATTCATACATACCGTGTCATTTTGATTGAGCAAATCATCGCTGGGGTCTATAGCTGGTGCATCGTGTAGTACATAAGTGAAATTAAGCATTCGTGATAATTCCTTGAGAATTTCCATAACAATTCCCGAATGTTTGATAATATCACCGTGTTGATCTTTTTTCAAAATTTGCCATGGTGGTCGCTAAATTAAATTTCATAATGTGTTGTTGTTAAAAATATAATGAGTTCGGAAATGTGTTAAACTTACATGCATTGTTATTATATCCAGTGTTATATTACGGAAATAATGTGTGATGTGAGGAAATACCAATTCATGTGTAACGAAACCCAATACCGATGTCCAATAACCAATATTTACGAACTCGAAGTATTTATTGCGATTTTCCATAAGGCCTGTAAATACGGAAACATAGTTCAACGATATATATCAAAATTCTATGCAACACAAGAAATATGAAGTAAAAATTAATTTTTAATTCCTAACAAGAGAACACCAATCATTATACCGATCATACAACATCAACGTCGTCCTGCAAATACTGAAGAAGCCAACTGGGATACATAACTACTGGACTGGACAAAACCCAATCCGATAACTCGAAGAACAAACTTGTGGTATTTTTACAAGGGTCCTCATGAATTAACCTCATTGAGTAAGATCTGAGGACAAGACGTCTGTAAAGCGATCAGTTCAGAATAGGTTCCAGAAATGATTATTGGTGTACCCTTGCCTTCTTTACTAAGAATAACTTTTAGGCCTATTCCTATGTTAGATTTCAGGATTGCCTAAAGAGTAACTGCTTCTAACCTGCGCTGATTACGAGATCACAATACTTCATTATTACTTCAACAAAATCGGAACATAATCTCAATATTGGAAAATTCCTATTTGTAGTTATTACGGTGGTGTAGGGGATGATAGATACCAAGAAATGACCCTGATTGGCTTTAACATGGCGAAGTCCAGGCTTATCTTGGTCCCTTTTTCATCTCAATTGTGAACACTGACCTCCCCGCGGTGTCACCGGGAAAGCTATTTTCATCACCCGTTGAAATAGTGAGCTAATATGTGCCACGAGTTCACCCATAAGAACTATAAAAAATGGGTTGAGGCGTCGGGTTAGTTGCCCACACTCGGAAAACCCCTCCTACTATTAAAAAACAAAGAAAAAAAAACCAAACCCCCCAATGTTGACGACCCCCGCAAACGTATAAAGGACCACAATCTGCGAATCTGCACTTGGAATGCACGCACGTTGTACAGAACAGGTGCAGTGTTCGCTTTGGCGGATGTACTCATGAAGTACAAAGCCGATATTATTGCCTTACAGGAAATGCGATGGAAAGGTACAGGCGTAAATACATCAGACGATTACGCTCTGTATTATAGCTGCCATGAAACGAGACATGAATTTGGCTGTGGTTTTATGGTTAACAGAAGAATGAAAGACCTCGTCTCCAAATTCACTCCAGTAGATGAGCGAATTGATATAATCCGTGTAAAAGCGAAGATCTTCTACATCAGTCTCATTTGCGTCCATGTTCCGACCGAAGACTAAGATGAACAGACCAAAGACATATTTTACGAGCGCCTAAAAACAGCATATGACCGTCGCCCTGGCCATGACATTAAAATTCTGCTAGGAGATTTTAATACAAAAATCGGAAGGGAAAATATCTTTGGCCCCACCATCGGAAAATTAAGCCTCCATGAAGAAACATCAGACAACGGCATGAGGTTGATTGTCTTCGCCGCAGCAAAATACATGGTAGTTAGCAGCACCAGATTCAAGCATCTCCATATACTCAAGGCCAATTGGAACTCTCCCGATCGAACAACGAGAAATCAAATCGATCATGTTGTGATAGACGGAAGGCATTCATCCAGTGTTTTAGACGTCCGATCGATCCGGAGAGCGAATATCGATTCGGAGCATTACATTGTGCAGCCAAGGTACGCACCCGTCTTAATGTAGCAGCAAAGGTGCGATCTAATGTAACACGGAAATTTGATGTCGAAAAGCTGCAAACACAACAGATATCAAAAGCCTACTCCGCTCAACTTACCCAACTGCTTGGCGAAAGCACCCCTTGTCCCGATAATAATATAGAAACACAGTGGCATAGAATTGTCATCTCCCTACAAACTGGAGCAAAAGCAACATTTGGTTACCAAATACCACCATCATGAAATCCGTGGTACGATCAGGAATATCGTAATGCTACTGATATGAAAAACACAGCGAATAGGGCATCCCTGCGGACAGCAGCAACACGTAATGCGATGGAGAACTATCGGGAGAAAAGGTGAGAGGAGAAACGTATTTTCAGAAAAAAGAAGACAGAACAAGAAAATCGTGAGCGTGAGCAAATCGAGATGAGTCAGAATGACGTCCGAAAATTCTACTAACGGGCAAAACACCAAACCGAAGGCTTTGGTGAAGGCACATCCTCCTGTAGAGATGAAGAAGGAAACCTTGTGACAGATACAGACAGCGTTGAATTTTTGAAAGCTGTGTGAACGACTGAAGCCAATGACATTATTGACCATACCAATGCGGCTTCAGGCCTAGCTAATCCACCATTGACCAGATTTTTACTCTGCGCCAGATCCTTGAAAAAACCCACGGAAAACACATCGACACATTCCACCTATTCGTCGACTATAAAGCCGCATTCGACAACCCTATCCGTTCAGAGGTGTATAAAGCCATGTCTGCGTTTGGCATTCCTGCAAAATTAATTCGACTGGCACAAGATCAGCAGTTAAAGTCGGAAAGGACCTTTCGGAGACGTTTAATACCGTACGAGGATTCAGACAAGGTGATAGTTTGTCGTGTGACCTTTTTAACATCCTGCTGGAAAAGATCATACGATACGCAAAGGTGAACAGAAATTGCACTTTGTACACCCATGACATCGACATAATGGGTCGAATATTGGAGCGGTAACAGCCAACTTCGAACAAATTGAGAAGGAGTCTGTCAATGTGGGTCTGGCAGTAATTGGCGAGAAGACCAAGCTCTGATGGTATCAACCTGCAAGACGACCAGCAGACTCGGATCGATTGTGAAACTTGAAAACTACAGCTTCGAGGTAGGGAACGATTTTATTTACCCCGGTACCATCATAAACAAAAATAATAATAACATCAGCTTTGAAATCCGGAAGAGAATCATGTTGGTGAACAGATGCTACTATGGTCTGAGTAAGCAAAAACAAGGCCATCGCCAGACCAAACTCACACTCTACAAGACGCTAATATTGCCCGTGGTGTTGTATGGATCTGAAGCATGGGTACTTGCAGATGAGGCAGCTCTTGGAGTGAGGAAAGGACCTTTCGGAGACGTTTAATACCGTACGAGGATTCAGACAAGGTGATAGTTTGTCGTGTGACCTTTTTAACATCCTGCTGGAAAAGATCATACGATACGCAAAGGTGAACAGAAATTGCACTTTGTACACCCATGACATCGACATAATGGGTCGAATATTGAGAGCGGTAACAGCCAACTTCGAACAAATTGAGAAGGAGTCTGTCAATGTGGGTCTGGCAGTAATTGGCGAGAAGACCAAGCTCTGATGGTATCAACCTGCAAGACGACCAGCAGACTCGGATCGATTGTGAAACTTGAAAACTACAGCTTCGAGGTAGGGAACGATTTTATTTACCCCGGTACCATCATAAACAAAAATAATAATAATAACATCAGCTTTGAAATCCGGAAGAGAATCATGTTGGTGAACAGATGCTACTATGGTCTGAGTAAGCAAAAACAAGGCCATCGCCAGACCAAACTCACACTCTACAAGACGCTAATATTGCCCGTGGTGTTGTATGGATCTGAAGCATGGGTACTTGCAGATGAGGCAGCTCTTGGAGTGTTAAAAAGAAAATTTCTCCGTCGAATGAACCATCAGCTATACCATATGTTCTCGGAGAATATATGAAGATGTCCCAGCTCAAAATGCATATTTGATATTTTATTTCTGCACATCATACATACCCCGCCGTGGTTTATGGTGTTCTTGAGATTTACCCCAAGACAAGGCTGTAATGATACGCCATTTCGAACATGTTGAACAGCGGCTATGATTTCTTAAATATTCTTTCATTGTCTGCAGAATATCATCCTGTTTCTCTTTCTTGGTATAACGTAAAGCCTCCCATTCTTCATCAGATATTTCACCATAGATTGATTGTTCTACAGCAATTAGCTTCGAAATGGACAAGACAAAGGCCATGGAGATTTCTTGCAGGGTACAATTCAAGGAGGCCTGGGAAGTAAAACAATCAAAATTAAAATATTTAATAACTACAAACTAACCAAATATGCCCACCTCACAACTAGGCGATGTTTCATTTAAAACAAATGCGATATTGGCACCCTCGCCCAAATTCTGTGTCACAGCCATTGCATCAAACTGCTGGGTATTTTCTTCCAGTACAAAAAACATCCATTGATTATTGACATGAAACATATCCATATTATCGGCCATTTCAATAATATCTTCATAGAACTTCGAGAATACAATAAATTGATTTGATTCTCGGGGATGGCGTTGAAATGGCAGCAAGGTGTCGCGTATCGCTTGACGTTTTCGTTGCGTACGCAAGCGGTCATTGATGCTATACAGATACAAGGAAATTGGTACAATATTATTTTTTGTACTCTCATGTACCACCGATTCCACTAATTTTGTATTTTCATTGGCCAAATTTTCATCCATTATTACGACGGCGGTTTTCCATGGTAGAATATTTTGCACCTTGGCATCCAAGATCATTTGGGGAAATTCTTCACCACGTTCCACCAAGGGTATCTGTAACACGAGAAATAGGTAAATTATTTTATTTTTAGATTTTCATGAAATAAATCTTTACCATTAGAGCCTGGTCGAGTGGCAAACGAGGACAATCAGCATCAGTTATAGCAATAAGGAGAATAGAATTTGCCCTCGTGGCTTTAAAAAATTTCATTGTGTTCTCACAATCCATAACGGTCATGGCGGCTAGGAAATCTGAAAATAAGATAATTTATTAAGGAAGGACATAGGGCGTATACGTTGTGACAATAGTTATACGCCATGGATTACGAAGCAAAATAAATAGTTAAATAGTTTCTATAGGTCAAACAGAACAAATAGGCGAGGACACTTAAAACATATTTGCCAGAGATCTCACAGGGCAATATGCGTGAATTTTTAAAGAATATTTTCAAAAGAAGCACCGGGGTAATAGACGTTCTTTAAGAATATGTTTGAAAGGAACAGCAGATCCATAGACATATGTTTTAAAGGATTATTTTCAGAGGAGATGCAGAGCTATAGGCGTAGGTTTTTAAAGATTATTTTGAGAGGAGATGCAGAGCTATAGGCGTGGGTTTTTAAGGATTATTTAGAGAGGAGGTGCAGAACTATAGGCGTAGGTTTTTAAGGATTATTTTGAGAGGAGATGCAGAGCTATACTTGTAGGTTTTTGAGGATTATTTTCAGAGGAGATGCAGAGCTGTAGACGTAGGTTTATAAGGATTTTTTTGAGAGGAGATGCAGAGCTATAGTTGTAGGTTTTTGAGGATTATTTTGAGAGGAGATGCAGAGCTATGGGCGTAGGTTTTTAAGGATTATTTTGAGAGGAGATGCAGAGCTATAGTCGTCGGTTTTTAAGGATTATTGTGAGAGGAGATGCAGAGCTATAGGCGTTGGTTTTTAAGGATTATATTGATAGGAGATGCAGAGCTGTAGACGTAGGTTTTTAAGGATTATTTTGATAGCAGATGCAGAGCTATAGGCGTAGGTTTTCAAGGATTGTTTTGACAGGAGATGCAGAGCTATAGGCGTAGGTTTTTAAGGATTATTTTGAGAGGCGATGCAGAGCTATAGGCGTAGGGTTTTAAGGATTATTTTGAGAGGAGATGCAGAGCTATAAGCGTATGTTTTTAAGGATTATTTTGAGAGGAGATGCAGAGCTTTAGGCGTAGGTTTTTAAGAATTATTTTGAGAGGAGATGCAGAGCTATAGGCGAGGGGTTTTAAGGGTTATTTTAAAGAATGATTCTTTTAAAAATCCACGCCTGGTCCTCTAGAAATGATTCTTTTAAAAATCCACGCCTGGTCCTCTAGAAATGATTCTTTTAAAAATCCACGCCTGGTCCTCTAGAAATGATTCTTTTAAAAATCCACGCCGTCCCTAGAAATGATTCTTTTAAAAATCCACGCCTGGTCCTCTAGAAATGATTCTTTTAAAAATCCACGCCTGGTCCTCTAGAAATGATTCTTTTAAAAATCCACGCCTGGTCCTCTAGAAATGATTCTTTTAAAAATCCACGCCTGGTCCTCTAGAAATGATTCTTTTAAAAATCCACGCCTGGTCCTCTAGAAATGATTCTTTTAAAAATCCACGCCTGGTCCTCTAGAAATGATTCTTTTAAAAATCCACGCCTGGTCCTCTAGAAATGATTCTTTTAAAAATCCACGCCTGGTCCTCTAGAAATGATTCTTTTAAAAATCCACGCCTGGTCCTCTAGAAATGATTCTTTTAAAAATCCACGCCTGGTCCTCTAGAAATGATTCTTTTAAAAATCCACGCCTGGTCCTCTAGAAATGATTCTTTTAAAAATCCACGCCTGGTCCTCTAGAAATGATTCTTTTAAAAATCCACGCCTGGTCCTCTAGAAATGATTCTTTTAAAAATCCACGCCTGGTCCTCTAGAAATGATTCTTTTAAAAATCCACGCCTGGTCCTCTAGAAATGATTCTTTTAAAAATCCACGCCTGGTCCTCTAGAAATGATTCTTTTAAAAATCCACGCCTGGTCCTCTAGAAATGATTCTTTTAAAAATCCACGCCTGGTCCTCTAGAAATGATTCTTTTAAAAATCCACGCCTGGTCCTCTAGAAATTATTCTTTTAAAAATCCACGCCTGGTCCTCTAGAAATGATTCTTTTAAAAATCCACGCCTGGTCCTCTAGAAATGATTCTTTTAAAAATCCACGCCTGGTCCTCTAGAAATGATTCTTTTAAAAATCCACGCCTGGTCCTCTAGAAATGATTCTTTTAAAAATCCACGCCTGGTCCTCTAGAAATGATTCTTTTAAAAATCCACGCCTGGTCCTCTAGAAATGATTCTTTTAAAAATCCACGCCTGGTCCTCTAGAAATGATTCTTTTAAAAATCCACGCCTGGTCCTCTAGAAATGATTCTTTTAAAAATCCACGCCTGGTCCTCTAGAAATGATTCTTTTAAAAATCCACGCCTGGTCCTCTAGAAATGATTCTTTTAAAAATCCACGCCTGGTCCTCTAGAAATGATTCTTTTAAAAATCCACGCCTGGTCCTCTAGAAATGATTCTTTTAAAAATCCACGCCTGGTCCTCTAGAAATGATTCTTTTAAAAATCCACGCCTGGTCCTCTAGAAATGATTCTTTTAAAAATCCACGCCTGGTCCTCTAGAAATGATTCTTTTAAAAATCCACGCCTGGTCCTCTAGAAATGATTCTTTTAAAAATCCACGCCTGGTCCTCTAGAAATGATTCTTTTAAAAATCCACGCCTGGTCCTCTAGAAATGATTCTTTTAAAAATCCACGCCTGGTCCTCTAGAAATGATTCTTTTAAAAATCCACGCCTGGTCCTCTAGAAATGATTCTTTTAAAAATCCACGCCTGGTCCTCTAGAAATGATTCTTTTAAAAATCCACGCCTGGTCCTCTAGAAATGATTCTTTTAAAAATCCACGCCTGGTCCTCTAGAAATGATTCTTTTAAAAATCCACGCCTGGTCCTCTAGAAATGATTCTTTTAAAAATCCACGCCTGGTCCTCTAGAAATGATTCTTTTAAAAATCCACGCCTGGTCCTCTAGAAATGATTCTTTTAAAAATCCACGCCTGGTCCTCTAGAAATGATTCTTTTAAAAATCCACGCCTGGTCCTCTAGAAATGATTCTTTTAAAAATCCACGCCTGGTCCTCTAGAAATGATTCTTTTAAAAATCCACGCCTGGTCCTCTAGAAATGATTCTTTTGGAAAAAATGATTCTTTTAAAAATCCACGCCTGGTCCTCTAGAAATGATTCTTTTAAAAATCCACGCCTGGTCCTCTAGAAATGATTCTTTTAAAAATCCACGCCTGGTCCTCTAGAAATGATTCTTTTAAAAATCCACGCCTGGTCCTCTAGAAATGATTCTTTTAAAAATCCACGCCTGGTCCTCTAGAAATGATTCTTTTAAAAATCCACGCCTGGTCCTCTAGAAATGATTCTTTTAAAAATCCACGCCTGGTCCTCTAGAAATGATTCTTTTAAAAATCCACGCCTGGTCCTCTAGAAATGATTCTTTTAAAAATCCACGCCTGGTCCTCTAGAAATGATTCTTTTAAAAATCCACGCCTATTTAGCTACAGGTCCTCTAGAAATGATTCTTTTAAAAATCCACGCCTGGTCCTCTAGAAATGATTCTTTTAAAAATCCACGCCTGGTCCTCTAGAAATGATTCTTTTAAAAATCCACGCCTGGTCCTCTAGAAATGATTCTTTTAAAAATCCACGCCTGGTCCTCTAGAAATGATTCTTTTAAAAATCCACGCCTGGTCCTCTAGAAATGATTCTTTTAAAAATCCACGCCTGGTCCTCTAGAAATGATTCTTTTAAAAATCCACGCCTGGTCCTCTAGAAATGATTCTTTTAAAAATCCACGCCTGGTCCTCTAGAAATGATTCTTTTAAAAATCCACGCCTGGTCCTCTAGAAATGATTCTTTTAAAAATCCACGCCTGGTCCTCTAGAAATGATTCTTTTAAAAATCCACGCCTGGTCCTCTAGAAATGATTCTTTTAAAAATCCACGCCTGGTCCTCTAGAAATGATTCTTTTAAAAATCCACGCCTGGTCCTCTAGAAATGATTCTTTTAAAAATCCACGCCTGGTCCTCTAGAAATGATTCTTTTAAAAATCCACACGTGGTCCTCTAGAAATGATTCTTTTAAAAATTCACACTTGGTCCTCTAGGAAATATTTTCTTCTGGCCACAGGAACTCCTCGATTTTTCAATATTCTAGAGCCTTCAGGGTTCTCTCCTCTTCTTACCCTTTTTCAAACGTATTCCGCTCCATGAAAAATATTTCACATTGATGCCACCCGTTTTGAGATTTTCCCGAATTGTATCACTTAGAATTTTTTGAAAATGTGATAGAATATTCAAATTGTGTTGTTGCATATAATCCTGATCGACCACGACTGCCAACGAAGCATTGGCACTTATAAATGATGAATAATCATTGTATTCCTGAGCCAGGGATATCCTTAAAACACCGACCAGTAGATAAAAACCGAATATCCCGATTTTCATTGTCTAACGTCTTTAGAGGTTCGCGAGCAACTGAAGTGGTGAAATATCAATGAAATCCTTTTTTTCGATTCGATTTATTCTTTCTAATTTTGCGTGTGTGTGTGTGAAGAGTTCAAGGAAGGATATAATGAAAAATTTAACCAACAACAACAACAAATGACAGACATTGTTTTTATTGTAGATTCATTGACCACAAAATTCGAAAGTGAAAACCAAAATTGCCCTATCGATATCGAGGAAATAGAAAAAATATGTCTGCTGAATCGCGTGAGGGAGGATGGTGGAGGGAGAGAACTCTAGTATATTCCGTCTGATTGACATATTGCGGTTAAATTTTTTGATTTGGTTGTTGTTGAAACGTTAATAGGATGCAGGTGTTGTTTTGGTGCCTCCGTCGTTCTTTGATTTATTTTTGCTTTCCACTACTGTTTTAGATAGCCGCAAGTTCGTTGTATTTTTTATTGCCACACACAGTCGAAACTAATGACAGGACTTTTTTTGATTCCTATCTAGGGTGACATGTGTGAAAATTTAATAAATTTAATTTTTAGTGGTCAGTGAGACAACAACATTTAATTTTCACAGTTTTGAAATCAATACTTTAAATATTAAAAATTAATTAAAATATAAAAATTTATATTTTTTTTTAAATCTACATCTAATTGCTTTGGCAGACCTCTAGAAAATATTTTTTTAAAAATACACGCCTATTTAGCAGACCTCGAGAAAATATTCTTTAAAAATCCACTCTTATTTTTTTACAAAACTATTCCGTTTAAATATTGAATTTGATTTTTTTTCGAAAAAAATTTGTCAACAAGCAAACACATCAAAGCATGTTTATGCAAAACAATATTCATAAATAGCGATATAAAAAAGTTATTCCCATGAAATGCATATCAACACCAAAAGTATTCAAAACTTTTCCAGAAAAAAAAATCCGAATGAAGGCATGTCATAAAACATACGATTTTATAATCTTCCTACTTAAGGAATATTTATGCGACGTAGACATTTCGATTCAATACCAAACAATATATTTTTCAAGGGCCAACTGAGGCGTGGATTTATTAAAGAATATTTTTCAAGAATATTATTTATTAAAGAATATTTATTAAAGAATATTTTTCAAGGGCCAACTGAGGCGTGGATTTATTAAAGAATATTTTTCAAGGGCCAACTGAGGCGTGGATTTATTAAAGAATATTTTTCAAGGGCCAACTGAGGCGTGGATTTATTAAAGAATATTTTTCAAGGGCCAACTGAGGCGTGGATTTATTAAAGAATATTTTTCAAGGGCCAACTGAGGCGTGGATTTATTAAAGAATATTTTTCAAGGGCCAACTGAGGCGTGGATTTATTAAAGATATATTTTTCAAGGGCCAACTGAGGCGTGGATTTATTAAAGAATATTTTTCAAGGGCCAACTGAGGCGTGGATTTATTAAAGAATATTTTTCAAGGGCCAACTGAGGCGTGGATTTATTAAAGAATATTTTTCAAGGGCCAACTGAGGCGTGGATTTATTAAAGAATATTTTTCAAGGGCCAACTGAGGCGTGGATTTATTAAAGAATATTTTTCAAGGGCCAACTGAGGCGTGGATTTATTAAAGAATATTTTTCAAGGGCCAACTGAGGCGTGGATTTATTAAAGAATATTTTTCAAGGGCCAACTGAGGCGTGGATTTATTAAAGAATATTTTTCAAGGGCCAACTGAGGCGTGGATTTATTAAAGAATATTTTTCAAGGGCCAACTGAGGCGTGGATTTATTAAAGAATATTTTTCAAGGGCCAACTGAGGCGTGGATTTATTAAAGAATATTTTTCAAGGGCCAACTGAGGCGTGGATTTATTAAAGAATATTTTTCAAGGGCCAACTGAGGCGTGGATTTATTAAAGAATATTTTTCAAGGGCCAACTGAGGCGTGGATTTATTAAAGAATATTTTTCAAGGGCCAACTGAGGCGTGGATTTATTAAAGAATATTTTTCAAGGGCCAACTGAGGCGTGGATTTATTAAAGAATATTTTTCAAGGGCCAACTGAGGCGTGGATTTATTAAAGAATATTTTTCAAGGGCCAACTGAGGCGTGGATTTATTAAAGAATATTTTTCAAGGGCCAACTGAGGCGTGGATTTATTAAAGAATATTTTTCAAGGGCCAACTGAGGCGTGGATTTATTAAAGAATATTTTTCAAGGGCCAACTGAGGCGTGGATTTATTAAAGAATATTTTTCAAGGGCCAACTGAGGCGTGGATTTATTAAAGAATATTTTTCAAGGGCCAACTGAGGCGTGGATTTATTAAAGAATATTTTTCAAGGGCCAACTGAGGCGTGGATTTATTAAAGAATATTTTTCAAGGGCCAACTGAGGCGTGGATTTATTAAAGAATATTTTTCAAGGGCCAACTGAGGCGTGGATTTATTAAAGAATATTTTTCAAGGGCCAACTGAGGCGTGGATTTATTAAAGAATATTTTTCAAGGGCCAACTGAGGCGTGGATTTATTAAAGAATATTTTTCAAGGGCCAACTGAGGCGTGGATTTATTAAAGAATATTTTTCAAGGGCCAACTGAGGCGTGGATTTATTAAAGAATATTTTTCAAGGGCCAACTGAGGCGTGGATTTATTAAAGAATATTTTTCAAGGGCCAACTGAGGCGTGGATTTATTAAAGAATATTTTTCAAGGGCCAACTGAGGCGTGGATTTATTAAAGAATATTTTTCAAGGGCCAACTGAGGCGTGGATTTATTAAAGAATATTTTTCAAGGGCCAACTGAGGCGTGGATTTATTAAAGAATATTTTTCAAGGGCCAACTGAGGCGTGGATTTATTAAAGAATATTTTTCAAGGGCCAACTGAGGCGTGGATTTATTAAAGAATATTTTTCAAGGGCCAACTGAGGCGTGGATTTATTAAAGAATATTTTTCAAGGGCCAACTGAGGCGTGGATTTATTAAAGAATATTTTTCAAGGGCCAACTGAGGCGTGGATTTATTAAAGAATATTTTTCAAGGGCCAAACTGAGGCGTGGATTTATTAAAGAATATTTTTCAAGGGCCAACTGAGGCGTGGATTTATTAAAGAATATTTTTCAAGGGCCAACTGAGGCGTGGATTTATTAAAGAATATTTTTCAAGGGCCAACTGAGGCGTGGATTTATTAAAGAATATTTTTCAAGGGCCAACTGAGGCGTGGATTTATTAAAGAATATTTTTCAAGGGCCAACTGAGGCGTGGATTTATTAAAGAATATTTTTCAAGGGCCAACTGAGGCGTGGATTTATTAAAGAATATTTTTCAAGGGCCAACTGAGGCGTGGATTTATTAAAGAATATTTTTCAAGGGCCAACTGAGGCGTGGATTTATTAAAGAATATTTTTCAAGGGCCAACTGAGGCGTGGATTTATTAAAGAATATTTTTCAAGGGCCAACTGAGGCGTGGATTTATTAAAGAATATTTTTCAAGGGCCAACTGAGGCGTGGATTTATTAAAGAATATTTTTCAAGGGCCAACTGAGGCGTGGATTTATTAAAGAATATTTTTCAAGGGCCAACTGAGGCGTGGATTTATTAAAGAATATTTTTCAAGGGCCAACTGAGGCGTGGATTTATTAAAGAATATTTTTCAAGGGCCAACTGAGGCGTGGATTTATTAAAGAATATTTTTCAAGGGCCAACTGAGGCGTGGATTTATTAAAGAATATTTTTCAAGGGCCAACTGAGGCGTGGATTTATTAAAGAATATTTTTCAAGGGCCAACTGAGGCGTGGATTTATTAAAGAATATTTTTCAAGGGCCAACTGAGGCGTGGATTTATTAAAGAATATTTTTCAAGGGCCAACTGAGGCGTGGATTTATTAAAGAATATTTTTCAAGGGCCAACTGAGGCGTGGATTTATTAAAGAATATTTTTCAAGGGCCAACTGAGGCGTGGATTTATTAAAGAATATTTTTCAAGGGCCAACTGAGGCGTGGATATATTAAAGAATATTTTTCAAGGGCCAACGGCGTGGATTTATTAAAGAATATTTTTCAAGGGCCAACTGAGGCGTGGATTTATTAAAGAATATTTTTCAAGGGCCAACTGAGGCGTGGATTTATTAAAGAATATTTTTCAAGGGCCAACTGAGGCGTGGATTTATTAAAGAATATTTTTCAAGGGCCAACTGAGGCGTGGATTTATTAAAGAATATTTTTCAAGGGCCAACTGAGGCGTGGATTTATTAAAGAATATTTTTCAAGGGCCAACTGAGGCGTGGATTTATTAAAGAATATTTTTCAAGGGCCAACTGAGGCGTGGATTTATTAAAGAATATTTTTCAAGGGCCAACTGAGGCGTGGATTTATTAAAGAATATTTTTCAAGGGCCAACTGAGGCGTGGATTTATTAAAGAATATTTTTCAAGGGCCAACTAGGTGTGGATTTATTTTAATAACCCTATCCTCATCCTATGCGACATATGTTAATGTGCGAAATTTTTTTTCTACACATTTTTAAATTATGTGTCGTAAAATAATTTTTTTTCTATATGGTACGGTTCATGTATTGGTCACATTATGCATACAATAACAATGACAACAACTACAATGAAAAGAAAAGAAGTCATAGCAGCAGCAAAAAAATGTAACAAATTATTTTCCACAAAGAAAAAAAATTGAAACGAAACAGAGCAACTCAACTCAACCGAACTGAACTACAAAGTATTCAGTCGACAGACCAAAAGTTTTCACATCTAAGGGGATATGCAAAACTTGCAAAATTAAAATGATAGCGGCAAATCTAGGAAATATTGGAAAAAATGCTTGCACAGCAATCTGCAGGAGCAGTAGCAGCAGCCGGAACCGGAGCAGCATTGTAACGCAACGATATCACATTGTATGGAATAGCAGAATAATAAAAAACCGATGGGTAATAGTAACTTTATAAAAATACCATGTAATACAAAAAGTACATGGATAATGGAGGTTAGGGATGCCAGTTAATATCCTAAAAA